ACGATCGATATGAACAAAGTTAATCGTAACGCAAACAGACTCGCAATAGCTTGACAGTGAAGCGAACGGAACTGCGCACGCGCTACGCGGTCAAGGTCGCGCAAGCACTCGCTCTGTTGTGAGCTGTGCACGATGGCGATAGCGAACTGGCGCGCACCGTTCGAACGAGGGAGCGACAGCGCTTAACCTCGTCGAACCATGTAACAGCGGATTCGCCTGTCAGGAGCTGGACGTTCGCGAACGGCAAACCGCACTTATTCGTCTCGGATATGACAAATGTATAAAAGTGACTGCACGTTCGCGGAGAGAGAGATTGCCGGTACCAACCGTGGCCACGACGTAACGAGCACCAAAGAAAAGGCGGGCGTAAATGCGTGGTTCAGTTAGCGTGAAAAAGGAGAGAGCGGTGTAGAGAGAGGCCAGGTACTTGATCTAGTACTTACAGTAAAGCCGCTCGCACTTCCGTCCTAACCCACAAATCAAGGGCACGCGACAGCGGGCTCGCTTCTACCGCACGCTCGCTTTGTTTTCGTCTGGCTGACTCCTAATGGCACTTTTTTTTCTGGCGTGACAGCGTACACAGGCACGTGTGAGGCTGGGTGACCGCAGCAGGCTTCGACTCGCGCGAGAAACGTTAGCCCGTCAATTGTCGAAAACGGACTGTGTCAATTTTTTGAAACTCTCTCTCTCTCCTCGCAAGGAAGCGTCTCCCCACGAGGTCCGCGCCGCGAGTCGATATCGATTATCGTACGCGAGTCGCGTCGCTTACCAGTTCGCTGACGTCCGTGATGCTGTAATTATTCAAGCAATATGGTAATTTATAATGAATATTAAATATATTAGTTGCTGGCTTCTTGGAGAGAGAGAGACATAACGAATATACAAACGATTCGTTATATAGTTTATATACAATCCATCGTTTAAAATCATTTAAAATAGATTTTATGATTATAATATTGAGAACACATTACTGGAAATTTTCATATGAATAGAATTTTAGAAAAAAAAATTACAATTCTCAAATTACCTATGAAAGTGTATTTTGTATTAAACTGTTCGAAACGATGGATTGTAAAGACGACAAAGTTATCGATTCACATGGATAATCATGAATATGAATCATGAATATTTTGAGAAATTAAAAAAATATATTATTCATCTGAAAGCGTTCAGGATACCTCGCCAATTTCATTTGAAAGTCAAACAATGGTTTCAGGTATAAAACACAATGTATCGGCGCATAATACTAGTTGAATTTTAGTTTTATTCTACATAATCGTGTAGAGAACATTTAAACGTTCGAAACAATTACACATACTTCAAAGCCACTTTATCGCATGAAAAATTCAAGCTGGAAAGAGAAGGACTTGAGGATTTGCCTAATTCATAAAGAGCTACTTCACATATATACGACTGTAGAGAGAGTTAAAGCCGCACTTGAGCTATGTCTACGAGATAACCCATTTACTTATTTCGTGAATAGAGAGAGTTTGCCATTAGACATTCATTCTCGCTTGTGAAAGTAATTGATCACAGCAAACATGTGAATTGTTCCGAACTCCGATTGGAATAACAACGTGTAACGCGTATAAGTCCCGTGCAACTTACATACAGCGTCGCGAAACTCAAGCTAAAACCTATTTGCAGTGTGGACACACAAAAAAGGTGGATCAAACCGAATCCATCGAGTGAATTTTTCAGTGGAGCTGCGGCGACCAGCAGCAGTGACGGTGCATCAGGTGTATGCAGCCGCTGGTGCAGGGGGCGTGCGGCTGGCCGGGTTTGCTTCGACATCGATCGCCCAGGTGAGGGGATCTCGCGACTGACCTTGGCCCGCGGGTTGCCGCTTATTCCTCTTGGCTCTTTTTTTCTTTCTTTCTCTCTTTCTCGACGTCGCCGACGATTATTATTGAGAGCAGTGCGGAGACGTGCCCCTCGTTAAAAGCCACGAACTTTTGTATACGCGAGGTCGTATCGTTTCGTTGTCGTGTTATCTCACGGACGAATAGATGATGTATCCGAACGATGAAGGCTTATGTTAATTGTAGGCGATATCGGCTTATGATATTCCGATGCGAGTCTGCGATATTTTTGCCTTGGGGCTGAAAGGACATTTTTAGCGAGACTTTTTATTTTAATTTATATTTCAGTTCATATTTACTTGAGTAAAAATGAATATTTATTTATTCGAAATTAATCACTTGAGTAAAAATACTTGAAGATTTTTTAAAGCATAGAGCTTGAACATAATTTTTCTACTAAATTTATATACACACATATAGGACTTGTGTCATTTCTTAAAAATATCGTTTCACGCACTTTAAAATTCAAATGTATAGATTCGCTACATATCAAAATACCATTGCAATCCTGCGCACAGCGATTTAATCACTAGTATAAATACAGAATCTAACACTAACAAAATAATTATTGGTTTTTACATTTCATTAAAATGTTGCACATTCCATAAATATTGCTTATACAAATAAAATTGATTCCAAATTAAATTTATATGATTTGTATTTATTTATGAATTACACGATACACACTTAGCAAACCTCAATTTAATTCGAAATTGTAAATGTAAAATTTGTTAGAAAATATTCATCTTCTACTTTTTCGCCATTTAAATCACAAAAATGGAAATGTGTCTACTTGGATTTCAGCAAGGTTTATTTTTCATGTTACTAAGAGATAAGGCTAATTTATACTCTCGAAGGAAAATGTTCTATAATCGTCCAGAGTCAAATGAAAGAGAAAGAGAGAGAGAGAGAGTGAGAGAATAGACCACAGTGATTCGTAGCGCTTTGAGACTCATTTAATGCACAGATAACATACAATTTTTATTTATAATTCCGATGCAGCTATAAAGTTCAAGGTCATTTTTCTTTATGGCATCGTATGTATTTAATTACCAGTAAGCTCGGTTGGAGTAAGTTATTGCCAAGTAACTTCCTATTGAACAAGCTTTTTATACTCGACAGATGAAATTTGATGAAATTCTCAGAGGCTCGTCCAAATATATAAAGGCAAGTATGAGAACGTTGTCTTGATTAACTTTCAGACGCCGTAGCCACGCCACTCTGCAATCATGGAACTTTTGCAATTAATTTTCTGCTTCCAAAGCCCGAGTTTTTCCCGAAAATTCAATTAATATACCAGAAAATTTTTACATCTGAACAGATTTACACTTGCATCGATAAATTACCTTAAAGCCACCTGAAACAGCTGTGCAGGGCAAAAGTCTTTCATCTTACGTAGCGATTATCCTTGCTGTGTGTTGTCACATTTTCCATTAACTATTTTCTCTTGTACCGCGACTTTTATTCACCTTCTTTTTCTTATAAATGCGTCTTGGTTTCCGCTTCGCAAGATCCTTTACCTTGCGGAGGCTTTTCATCTTCCTTGCAGCGCTTTCCACGGGATTTCCGGAGCATACCTATAATGTCGGATTTTTCTTTTTTATTTTCCTCTCGTCGATTTTTACTTGAATCTTTTTCTGAACTCGGCCACTGTAGTGATTCGCTTTCTTTGGCTTCTTTGTTTCGATTGTTTTCTTTATAATTAGTATATACATCAAAACCATGCGCCTGATTATTCGGATTATGTCTTTTAAAACTAGATGTCAGTTGTTTCACAAAAAACCAAATATTTTGAGAGGTAAAAAGTTATTAATACGGTTGATACTTATTATCGCATGTTTTATCTAATTAATTACTAATTATTATCCAACGTTTTATTTAATTCACATTTTAAATGTTCGAAGTAGAATTAAAAATTAGTAATTAATAATGCGTCATTAAATAATTACCCTAACATATCAGCAAAGTGATCGATGATATTTATTTCGTTCATATTACAATGGAATACTCATATATACAGTGCTATTTTCGAATAGCGTCAATCACATCCCTTATTCACATTTAATTAGCCGGTGCTTATTAAATCGATTAGTGCACATTGAAATTAATGAAGTCGTTACATGAATACTCACGTGTAAAACAATTTGAATCAAGAAATTGACATTTGCTTTCATTAATTTACCTGTGGGCTTTTATAATTGAAGCGTAAATGTCTCCACGGTGTTTACTACATCATCAAAAGAGATACACACACCATTACCCTAACATAAATAAAACCAAGTACATTAAGCTTAACCGCCTACACGAAGGTGCCGCGATACTACGCAAAAGAAAGAGAGAGAAAGAGAATTAGGAATACCGTCGGACGTGAATATTTGATAAAAAAAGAGATGCTTTCTCGACGTACAAAGATAGAACAAGAATAACAAGCGGAAAAAATATATTTCGTTTATTTTTCTTTCATTTTCTACATTATTTCTTTTTTCTCTTCTTGAATACATTACACTGTACTATTTTATCTATTATAAATATTGGACGGAAAACTTTTTATTATATCATGAGGATACTCAGGTCGTATGGATTGAAAAAAACATGGTATAAATACTTTGATGAATAAATATATGACGGCAAGTTCGCAATAGCGTATGATATGTGCTCGTATAAAATAAAAATGCTCTATTAATGAATTTAACATTGTAAAGGAAACCAATAGGCCTTCATCAACAATAATAGCATATAAAACTCATTGATCTCAACTACGTAACTACATTCCAATTCATAATTGATTATATGTCACGTGTACATTGCTAGTTACGTAACTATATACGAATTATAATGTATTATAACGTAGCTATTCACTCATTACTTATCTTTTATCAAAGTGATATTATAATACTTAAAAGAAATTCGAACGACGTCTACAAAAACGAAAATGAAGAAGTCGCACAGCAATAAAGATCGATGTGAAGAAAAGCGTGAGTAGCTGGTAAGGGTTTGTTGCGCGAAAAGGGGGGACGGGGTGCTAGAACGACGGTATGCGCGCGCGCGTAGAGAACGACAGATAGCCGCCCGCCGCACACACTACATTCGACTTTGCCGGTGAACCCGCCGCGCACCAGTCCATCGCGGCTCGCTTTCCCGCGCGTACGCGCCGCTAAAAGAAAGCTTTTATCTATTCTTCCCTGCCTCGTAGACCCTGTACGTGCCAAAAAGAACTCTCGTGTTCTTAAAGCTTATCTCACGGCAACTATGTCTCCCGAGCTCAATAAAGTATGCAGGTATGATTTTTATTTATTTATTTTTTTTTTTTTTTGGTGGTGTGTTGCAAGTTTTTATATTTTTCTTCTTCGTGGCGGTGAGATTTGCTGGAGAAATATTTGTGACTTTGAGAGGAAATTTCGTAACGATTTACAAAATAACAAGAGAATACAATACTCTTGCTATAGTAGTTATTAGGTTATCTTTGTTTTAATAAAACTTGTTTGTTTGCGGACAACATAGAACTCGAAAGTCATTTCTATGTTTTTACTTCACATTATAAATAAATATTCTATTTCATACTAAATTAATAGTAATACACATTGCCGTATTTTTGTGAAGTTCTACTTGTGAATGAAACGAAATCTAATTTAATATGATTAACGTACACTATTTAAATTTTCCTAGAACCTTCCGAAACTGAATATTTAAGAATAAATTCTAGAAACTGTCCATCAAAGATTGCATTTATCATTGAGCTAAATGTTATTGGCAAAAATATCTTACATTTCCAAAGGACTTTTCGGCTGATTTAATATATTCTAATGTGATTATTCAAGTAAAACAAATTATGATTAATTTTTATAAAATGACTCGCTCTACTTAGTTATTATTCTCTAGTTAGGTTCTCGCAATTCTCTACTTCTTTAAGAAGCTATATTTTGCATAACTTTTTTACTGAGCGTGTTTAATTTACTTGCATTAATTGAATACAAATTTCATTTCTACTGTTTGAATAAGATTACAAGACTTGCATGAAAATTCCTTTGTATCTGAATCTGAATTTCTACGTTAAATAAATAGTTTCGCGTACAGAACACTCTCGAAAAATGCTTTTTTTGCAAATACAAATCATTATTAGCGTGAAGCTGGAATCGTACGTAAATAATCTCGTTCGAACATCTTATTAATATTAGTAATCATTATTATAAAATAAATGTTTATATCTTGACTCAAGATACACAAATCTTTCAAATGATATAATTAATTATACTTTATAAAAACTAAAAATACAAAAAGGTTTATAGTAACAATAGCGCCGACTAAATTGGAGTTTCTTATAAAATCGTCTCATTAGTAACATAACACATACGGATAATGATGCTTTCGATTCAACGCTATTAAAAAGTTAAAACAACTTATTTTTATTTTATACATCGAAACTGCATTTGTCAATTTTCAGTAATACTCTCGCAACAATGTGTTTCATAATCACCTGCGACTCGTCCAACATAATGAGATTATCATTATAGGATTGTTCATGTCAAACAAACTTCACTTGTTTATTCGTTTACACTTCGTGTATTTATAAAGCACAAACACGTCGAGTCTTGTTTCCTTTGTCCGTTAATTCAAATTTAATACGATTTCAATGTTTAATTTTTGGACAGACGGATCCGGCATATCGAATAAAAATATACCCAAACTCCATACAATATGAGAGTTTTAGTCGATTTTTCGCATGGTATACTGTGTACGTTACTGATTGGTGTGGGGGGAGGCGCTGCTTAACGTACGAATGAATTCATTAGTAGGAATATGTGCTATATACACGAGACGATATTTCACTGGGAATGATTTGGTCTCCCTCGTTTATTTGTCAATATTTGATAAATTTAATTTAATTTATTACTACATAAGTGATGTGTTAGAAATGGCATTGTTAAAAATTTAACATTGCAAAAATGCAGTGATGTAAAATATTTGCTTACCTTGATAAGAGTGTCGTTGACAGATATACTTTGGACGGAGTACATCGATTTTATTACCGGATACAGTGAAACATGCAGTTGGACATGTAACATTAGAGAGAAGCGACAGCATGCAAGTACATGCACAACTTCTAGGCACTACTTTTACAAACCTCGGGAGAATCCAAGTGCGCATTGTATGTAAACATATCCGCCCGTGTGAATTTCGCCACTTCTCTGTGCCAGACGCATTATCATCAAGGAGTTGTTTAACTGTTTAACAACTCGCGTCGCAAAGTTCGTTCGATCCTCAAGAAGTTCATTTGCTAAGCATATTGTTTTATTCAAGTTCAGATTTTATTGCGCAGTCGCAGGATATTATAAACTTTTCTACAGCTATATTGATTTCCACATCGCAATTTTTAAAAATAGACGTGTAAGTTCACACAAGCCTTATTGATACGATAAAGCACGCGAAAGGACATTGCAATATGAAAAGGAAGAATGGCGCGTGCAGCGATTTTCTTGGAGAGAGAGAGAGAGAGAGAGAGAGAGAGAGAGAGAGAGAGTGCTCTTTACATCAGAGAATGACAAATGACTAGCGCTCGGATGGTGCGATTCTTGGCCAAGCGACAATTTGCACTATCGTACATTATGGGAGAATCGCTCGGCAAAATGGGAAAGAATAGACACGTGTTTGTTGGACACTTTTTTCGCGTACTCAGTGCTTCGCCGAGTTTTAACCTTGAACGATAGGGTGTTTGGAGACTCACTCGAGCCAATTCCAAGTATTTACATCGCAGAAATAATCGAAGAGAATGAGCTCGCCACATTTCCATCAATTCGTTTACGTGATCGAAATTCGATTTTTCTGTAAAAACAATCGTTTGGACAGAAGAAAGATTAATTGAACTCAATCGAATTTGTTGCATTTTCTTGAAAAGTCATGGCTTTGTTTAATTTTTCCCTTCACGAATTTATACCGAAGGTCTTGGTAATCATTATAGTGCGTAATCCATTCATGGCCATATTTTATATTAGCTTTCATGACCGCTATGTTATTATGCAAGCAAACAAAATATATGTACATATTAGAACAGGAAGGACGTGTGCGTTTAAATAGCAAAGTGATTTTTGATGCAGATGAAATATGAGACTTAGCTTTTAATCTTCTTTGGAAAACAACTTAGTTATTCCTCAACAGCAGTAAATCGCGTTGCTTACGCTTAAGCTCAATTGAAAGTTTCGTGTAAGATTCCATTAAAATTAACTATATCCTTCATCTCCAAAAAAAAGTCACGTTTAAATCTCATAAATCATTGTCTCCTTGATTTCTCAGCTTACGCGCGATATCTACACGATCTCTCGTAGTCGGAAAATCATACATTTTTTGTTCTCTCGCTTCAGCATAAAAACGATTAAATATAGCGAAATGAGACACGCGTAGGGAATTTTTCACACGCGAATATACTTTGCTGATCTCGGGGTCTCCATCGAGCTGCTTGTTTCTTATTCCTGCTCGCGTGACTTGCATGCGCCAAAGGGTTCAATGTCGAGAGCGCGCCTTATAAGCGCCTTGGAGCGTATGCTGGGGGGTTGGTCCTCGAGGTCAACGCTTCAAATGCGTGCGAGAGACGAAGCATTAAAAGACCTTCGTGGCGAAAGAGTCGTGTCAATGGAAGTTTCACGAGTCGGATGTCAAACGGAGTCTCGCTCCGTCAAAGCTACGACTTTCTTTGTGCGGCTCTGCCGCGGACGCATGCAAAGTGGATGAAACTTGATTTAGTCAGCCGAACTCCTGGACGTAACGCAACCTTTATTTTACGGGCGAGTCAGTGCTTCATCTTGTTTTTTAATAGAGCGATGCGTTTTCTCCCGGCATTTTGATTAAAAAGAAAATTAAAAAAAAAATCCAATGCAAGCGCCGTTCAATACAGCCTATTGACAAGATTTATGCGCGACTTCGTTGACTTTCCAGATTGCCTACACGTGCTCCGCGTGACTTTCTCAATAATGTAAACGCAATTTTCAACTTCCTCCGCGCATCTCAATTGCCTGCATTTTTGTTTTTTTCTATTATTTTCGACCATTATTATACCTCCATTACATAGCCGCGCGCATTTGACTCTTTACTCTCCGCTACAATTTATTCAAATTTCAATTACACACATCGGCGGGAGAACGGCGTACTAGCACGCTGCCAGCTTGTAAAACGAATATTACCAAGGTGCGACTGATGATTTCTTAGATAATTTATGGATTATTCGGTAACAAGGCCAAGCTTTGTTTTAAAATATTTCGAAGTAAACAATCTTGACATCGTCGATCGTGAAAAAAAGCTACTCATTTTTGCAGTTTAATTTGCGTAAACAGGATTCGGTACTGCGTACCATCTATACAGAGATCGCCGAGAAAGTTGATTTGTTCGTGACTGACAGAATTCGTTTCATACTTCTAGTTAGTTATTCAGAAACTTTACAGAAACGAACATTTAAAAACTTAAGGTGCATCCGCGATTTAGTGCTCGTAATCACTCATTGAAAAATTATGTACACAGAAAAATTTGCATTCGCTACTTGAAAATATTTTATAAATAACTTCCGAGCTTTTACTTACATTTCTATTATTCGCCAACACATATAGAGAGTCTTCTTTACATTTGATGCGTATTCGATGATCTGGATTTATTCTGTTCAACTAAAGCGTTAATATGTATGCCCTTTCAATGGATGATATGCACAAGAAAAACCTCTGCGTGTCTTTTATTAAAAATCTCATGCCACGTTACGGCATTTTTAATCATTTTTTTGTTGCTATACCCCAATAAGGTCTTTATCAACACATATTGCACAAATTTAATGTATAAAAAGAAATAACGAACAAATTTTAAAAATTTCTAAAAGCTGTTTAATATAAATTAATTCTTTTTATTCGTTATATATAATTTTTCTCAATTGGTGGAGGTGTATCGTTTAATTGCTAAATAGTTGAGCGAATCAGGAAATTGAAATAAGGAAATTAACTCCTAGATTTTAAAAACTATCGATTCTCTAAATATCCTGAAGCATTTCGTTCTATTCAGTAATTTGTGGCTCAGGGGCGAACGTGTTAATCTACTCGGGAATCCGAGGTTGAGAATGTGCTTTGTTGATTTATTGAACGAGGAAAGGCAATTATCTCTCCGACATTGTACTTCAAGCGTGAATATTAAGCCTCTTAAAAGAATACAGAACATTTTACTTCGCCTTTTTTCTATACTCCAAAAAACTGAGAGAAATGTCGTTATATGAACGAGATAAATCAATGGATGTAAGATGATTTATGATTCCATTTTATTTGCAGTAACACTCAATGTATTCGTAAAATCAAACAATTTATGCCTTATGATGGCAAGGTTTTAACGCAAAACTGTAACGTTAAATGCTAAAATGTAAATATTGAAGGAGAGACCACGCATCGCGAATTTCGGTGTTAGATTTGCATACTTGCGTGCGCGGGGAGAAAAACTTGGAATTCTACCAAGAATAAAGTGCATAATCGCTTAATAATCCGGAAATATTATGCGGATCATTATGAGAAAACTTTGATTTCCTATCACGCACTTCTTCTTTTTACCTCCTGGTTGATGTCTCTTTATTCAGTTTTCTTATAATGATGATCGTTCACGAACTGATGAGATCTCTACAATTTTAGCTAACATAACGGAAAATAAACAGCATTTTAGATATTGGTTACTGTTTCGAAGTCGTGCCAACCATATACATAAATAACGTTTTATTGAGGAAACGCAAACTGAAACTTTTGCCAGAAATCCGCAGAAATAATTGTTTCAAAGTATGATTACAATATCGTTATATTTTATCCCCAAAGTCTTTACAATTTAAAACTCATATTATAAGGATAATAAAAAATTCTAGAACTTATCAGCAAATTATCACATTGGTTTTCTTGAGCAACACCCATAACTTCGTACAAAAAGAAAATTCAATTGATTTATATTTTTTGCTTTCGTCATTGGCAAAATATCTGGCACACTTACGCGAACAGAAGACTTGTTTGATGCTACGGAGGGAAACTTTTAAGAATAATTTTCAGGACTTTCCTTGGGAGGGAAAAATCAATACGTACATACGTATGGTGCATTTAGAGGGAGCAGATTAAAGTACTACGGTATCTTTGACTCGAAGTGTTTAGCAAGAGAAACGCGGCTGCACTTTGCGTAATGACTCTTGGAAACAAGTTGAGGAGAAAAAAAATAAATACAAAAATATTGTTTCAAATTTTGAATTTGGCTTTGCAAAATAAGCAACATTTTCAAACTTTTACGTTATAAAAATGTTATAAATTTTTAGTAGTTGTGAGGTAATGTTTATTGATATTTATTTTCAATAACATAGTTTATTGTATCATTACTTTATATTCTGCCAAAAAAAGTTCCTACGAAATGCATAAAAGTTTCCTAAGAAACACATTCATAATTTAAGAACAATTAATTTAAGTAAGCAGCAAATTAAACATTTTTTGTAATGTAGTAAAATATCTGAAACACCAAATAGAAAAACGATCAATAAAAGTAGACAACATTTTTTTTCCCATAATTGAATGCCTAATATAACGGCATTATTGTATTCTCTACAATTTGCAATAGTAACCCTACAAATCTCTTTTTAACTGGCGTTTTATCGTACAAATCACGCATATCAAACCACGATAAACATAAAAAAAATTACATTGGCTAGCAAAAGAAGGAACAAATTATCCAGGCGTTGTGCTTTTATTACCAGCAGGGCCGTAAAAAGCGCTGACCACGAAATTCGAAAAAAAGGCCGTAAAGCGGGTGATCTGCTATCAGGTCGGACGTGAGCAAGAATAAAAACGTAAAAGACAGTAGCAGCGGCAGCGAGTCGGAAGAGAAAGAAAGTTAATGCTTTTGGAAGGCTTGTAAGGACAGGGACAGGGCGCCAAATGGCAATTCCGCATGCGAAATAGGGGTAGGCTTTAAGTTCGTTACGCGGAGTCTCTCGTCGCCCATATGCGCCGGCTTATGTGTAACTATAGAGCGGACAATTTTCTCGTTTATGCAGTTACTCCGAAGACTATGCTTCATAGCCTATTAGCGGCTCGTGCAGTCATTGTAGTCAATCCTCTCAGCTTGCTACTTGAGCGCAAGGCTTGCGTTGCTTTCTCCTCAATGTCGAGCTTCTTTTTAAAACTTCATTTAACCGCACGCGACTTTTATTGCCGACAATTTGCATTGATTCAAGTGAGCGATCAATTGCAATTATCTACGCTTGATAAGTTATTTTGAGGGCCTGCTTCTGCCTATAAAAACCTGAAAGCTTTCCCACTGAATGTATGCGTTGAGAGAGAATCCACGATTAGACGACAATTATTGAATTATAGGCAAGAACTGTGTACGAATATAAAATCGATTGGAAATCTCACGACTTTTTCCTAATAATTCACGAACTTTCTATATCTGCACTTCGAGGGGAAGCTAAAGAGAATATCGTGGATAAAGAATGATAGCAAAACAGTAAAGCGTGGATTTTTTAAGTAAAACGTGGCCTCCACCAAGAGTGTACTGTGTAACATTCCGAAACAAATACGATGGGAAAAAATAAAATAAGTTTCGTTTTGCTGGGAGATATATGCGAACGTGAGAACGTTCTAAAAAAGAAGATACGAAAAACGCGTAAAATTGGATTTCCCGGCCCGCGATATCTACTCAATAAAAGATGTCACGAAATTTCAATTGGAAAATCGAATGTTGTGGAATTCTGTTGGGAGTTATATTTGATACTTCATATACTCGAGCTGTTATGGTCAATTTATCAATTTACTTTGTTAACGAATTCGGGCTTTCTTTAAAAGAAATGAAATAAATTTGAAATATAACAAGCTCAAATGATTAAACGGTTATTTGCATATGATTGGTCATCAATAACACATAGTTGGACTACGATTTGCACAAAATTGTAATTACATTTCTTTTTCTTCCACGATCGAAAGAATTTCTAATACCCTTACTTATTCGAAGACCTTTATGAATGTTTAATTATTTGAGCTTTCCTTCAACTCCACTACATCGCAAGATCTCTTGGAAAGGAATATCAATATTACTCGAAAGCATCACTCAATAGTGCACTTGAGAAAAAGGAAGGTGCTTTTAGTCGTCGTGAAAGATTGGTCATGGAAAGCTTTCAAAACTACATTTCCATCGATGAAATTCTTAACAACAGCTGAAGCAGCTTTGCACAAGCTAAAGGCACTAAGAATGTCCAAGGCACACTTTTAAATCGGGTTTCCGGTCACGCGTGCCACCATGACCGCCAGGCAGGTTTTATCGCGGCTTATATTCTTCGGAGCGCATGCAACTATATACATATAACGCCGCTGCTTCATCTCGCTCGCGCACGAGCAAAGTAACGCGCCGGAGATCGATATAAAATAAGCTCTAAAGCTCGAGTATCGAGTGGGTGCTGGTGGGGGTATAAGGCCAGCCAGCTCGACCAACAGGTGAAGCCTTGTATGACCGACGATTCGTATATACGTTACACGCTCGTTCGATACACACTTTGTTTGCAAGATGTTTACTTTGCTGCTTGTTTACGGGTTTCTTTAATCATATCGAGGTTAACGATTAAAATTTCGTGCATTTTTTTAACGAAATTAATGGGGTACCTTTATGCAAACTACGGAATTGCTCGACTACGATAAACGTGTGAATTAATCATTGATATCGATAACATTTTCACAACAATATTTCTATGCATTTGTATCGAATTATGAAATGACAAGAATTGCACCAAATTTCAACGAAAGCTTTCGTGCATTTTGGAATTCAATCAAACTTTTCTAGCGTTATTGTACGACTATAAGTTACGCTGTTAATTAAAACTGAACACATTCAAAAGTTCGTAATTAATACTAGAACGTGATGTTTCATTAGCCCAAGACAATAGAAAAATATCAAACAAAAGCAGGTTATTAACTCGCAGTCACCAGCGCGTTTATTTGACGTTTCTGCCAAGAAAGGTGTTGAAAATTTGAACACAGAGATCACGAACATAAACAAATGAAGTACAGTACAGAGTATTAAAACGTCCAATTCTCATTCTCATAAAGACATATCTGTTGATACGTTAAAACACATAAAAGATATACCTGTTTGTATTTTATGGGACTTACATTTTCTGTTTTCTATTTTTTTAGCTTTGAAATAGCTCTAGTGCGTCTAAATTAAGAAGTAGTTTTGTAGTTTCCGATAAAAATAAAAACGTTTTTTCCACATATCTCTTCTAAAATATTTATCTGGAATTTCTATGTTGCATTCCCAGTTGAGATGCGTAACAATCAATGTGGATAACCTTTGGTTTTTCTACACTGTAAAAGATAATGACCGTTCTAAAACTATAACTATAATTATATATATTGCAAGAGTTTTAATAAATCCTCTTGCAATAAGAGGAAATCCTTAATGCAAGAATGATAAGATGAAATCTTTCGGGGCATATTTTGTTGAAGAATTTTTTTCAGTATAATAAAAAATACATTATCGTTCATGGTTGAAATACACTTATATAAATAAGTTATTTTTATTAAAAGTCTTTTCATAAACAAAAAAATAAAATTTATCCGTGTGTGACAGCTATGACATATAAATATAAGTTTGTTCTTTCGATTACAGTATTTTACTGCAAATGATTGCAAAAATAATTGATTGAATTATTATTATAGAAACCACTGAGAGAACTGAGCCGACTGTGGCATGGTACAAATAACCAGGCCAGTAACAATCAACCAACAATATTGACGGAAGTATGCAGCAGCGAGCCAGCCAGCGGTTTACCTTTGCTTCAGGTATGGCCGAGCGACTCACCAAGAGGCGAAGCAGACGGCGAAACATTTGTCTTCCCCGATGTTCAGGAAAACATCAACGACAGTGGTATCGAATCCATCCAGGTTGTTAATCATTAAATTTGGTCTACTTTTACTTACTTTCCAAATATACTCTGTTACTTCTTTCTTTTCTTCTTATAAACGTATACATAGTCTCGGTGAGGTAATAGTACATTATATGCACGGAGATAAAATTAAATAATGCTAAATAGTGTAGTAGAGATTCACCTCTGCGATCTCGACAGAAGGAATCACGGTCAATTTGCAGTATTACTTTCACTACTTTCTTATTGCCACATTTTCAAGTTGATTGGTTTTGTGCTTACACTAGTTTCTGATTCAAGAAGCAGTTGCGACATGGGTCGAAAGTTCGCTAAAGTATAGACTGCTATCATAATTATCGTCAACATTTGAAATTTGGTTGGCTCCAAGTAAAACATAATGGATTTATTGACACTGATTTAACAAAGTCAAATGGAAACAATGTATCTACCATTAGGACGGGTAAATCAGACAAAAGAGTCATTTACTTAAAGCTGTTCTCACGTTCCGATGGTATTTCCATGATCTAATTGATGAACATCATCTGTTTATTCAAATTTATTATATTGCTACATTTAAAATTTAGCTGAAAAACATGATTGACTATTTGTTTTTTATTATAATTACTACACTTTTTGTTTACTAGTAACAAAAAAAAACTGTCTAACGTGGTAAAAGGGTTGGAAAATATAATATAGCAAAAAGAGAATTATGTGATAAGGACGAGCATAGTACTTCTAATAACTGTTAACAACTTATCTTGCTATCTGGACTTCCGAAATTATGTTAGCAACGAGGAGACTTAGATATTAATGTCATCATTGAATTCTTTTTGAAAGTCATTTTGCTGAAGTTAAAAATCTGTCAAGAAACGACAAAATGACTGTAAGTAACCATAGTAAATCAATTTCTTTTGTCGTTGCAGATTTGAAAATGTAAAAAAGTTTCCTCGCGAGTCTTCGCTCGATTTATTATTCGCAATGCGAGAAAGCGTCACAATAGCGAAAGCTCTCACTTTCAAGGAGTCATGGTGAAATTAACAGGCTTCGCGTCGCAAATGGATCCTCCTCCATTATTCTTTCACCTTTGCGCGCTCTCATATCGCTCTCATATCGTACAAAGTTTCGGAATCTCGAAAAGTTCTTTTTTTCTCTGCTTTTGTGCCACTGAGTTGGAAATATACATTGATATTTAATGAAGTTATTTTGCTTGGAAAAGTAGCAATCCATTCATGAATTCGTTTGGCGAGAGACTGCGAATTTATCGAATTCTCGAGAGCAAGAGAGCAAGGTTATACATTTTAGTCATTTTAAGCATGAAAAATATATAAATGTGTGTCAAGGATATTTATGAATAGAACATTTTCTTTAATTTGAAAATCGTCGCTAAAAGTTTTCATTATTAGAGAAAAAAGGTATGATTAACTTGCGCATATAACGCGACTTTACGATATCTGCTTTACAATTAAAAATTCTATTATTGTGTATACCAAATGCCGAAGATAGATAGCAACGGTTACCCTAAATATTTAAGCAACTTGGAAGCTATTATTGCAATATCTTTTCTATTATTTTTATTTGTATTTCCCTCGGAAAGTTAAAATCTGAAATCAAATTTTGATTGTATTTCACTATAAGTACATATTGAATTAATTTCAGTATCCATTTAAAATTACGGTGTTTTTGCTGGTTCCATTAACAGAAGGTATTTTATTTAACAATCATGACATTTTGCAAGAAAAAGAATCAATTTCAGATTAATCAATGGGGCTTATATTTAATAAATTTCAATATCCTCCAGGCGTTTCACTTGAATTATTGGAAAGTTGAGAACTTGATTTCTATTGGACGGAGATGAGAAATTCTATTTCCATCTCAACAAAATACCTTCGCATCATTACGGCGGAGTATTCCCCTATAATAGTTCTTAGTTAAGAAGCTCGTATTGGAGTTATTGTAATTCGAAGAAATTAATAAAAAAACAAATCATTGTTATCTATATTGACATCAAAATACAATCGGATTATAGTCGGTGCACTTGAACTTTCATAGCTCGCTGTAAATTAATAAACGAATAAAAAATTTCAAAAAAAAAAATTCACATATGACAATAAGTATCAGATGGCGCATCTTTGGCCTTGACACGCTTCCCGTTCCAGAAAGGTGTCGGCGCGTGCAACATCTTTTCCTTTGTAATTGCAATCCTTGCTCTCTTTGTTTTTTCTACTGCCTTTCCCATTTTTATGCCGGAAAAATGTCGAGTGCAGTCGTGATCTTGAAATTTAGATTTACACGCTTTTTGGCTTTTCTCAAATTTCCCCAAGTATCGACAGAACGAAGTGAATTTATGCATTTACCACCGCGTCGCGTAAATCACTATCGGCGCTTGCGTTGTATTTGCCGACGAGCTTAACTCACGTCCATTGTGATAATTTATCTTTACATCTCTGGGGCTATGTATATGTTTTTCTATTATAATTTTTCACGATAAGCTCTCGTTTCCTCCGATTGGAAACTTTCAATTGAATGTTTTATTTATGTAAGAGTTTCTTTTTTCGTTTATTCTATAGTGCTTAGAAAGAAAAAAATTGTGTTTCATTTTCCTTTAGTATATATAATTTCGTATAAAGATTTTTTACTTATACTATATTACTAATCTGAATCTATTTTATTCTATCAATCAATTACATTAATTCATGAAACAAAAGTGAAGATGTATTTTCTTTTTTATATTATTACATATAACATCATTTTCCTGATCATCAGAATTTTACTCGTTAGTTGTTATATTTTTTAAATACATTATTTTATGACAATTATACAGAATATTTGATGTGATCGTTGTTAGTTCAACAATGCAATTCTTTGATATCTAACACTGATGTACATATCTGTTTTATATTCTCTTTTTTCATTATTGGCCATAAATGTCAAAGTCATCAGATATAAAATAATAATTTGAAATAATTAATTAAAAAAAGAAAAATTTGAAAACAAATGTCTTTGTCAGTTGTGCCACATATATAATATATCTTGTATGTATAAAAGATATTCCCTAACCGCATGCTATTTGTCTTTTGCTCCGTATTGTTTCTCCCCCGCATCTCTATGTCTCTGTCTCGATAACCATTGGAAAATACACATCCACACAATCGAAAAAAAACTCACGTCAGCGCTTGGAAATCAAGGCCTCTCCCTCGCCTGGTGGTGCAAACGGCGCAGGTGGTGGAGGAGGCGGCGGCAATAGTCCGACCCAAGGGACAACCCCGCAACAATCTCGTCGTTCAAGTTTTCTGCATCCAGATCACGCGCGACTTCATCATCATCGTATAGTCGTGGAAAAGCCAAGCATGCCGGACTACGAGGAGCCACAACCACCAAGTCCATCCAGTTCAACTACGAGCAGTCTCAGGTCTGTGCCCAGCTCTGCCATGACCTCGATGTCGCAGTCGCACGAGCGTCGACGTAGCAGCAGGTGGGCAAACATCATCAAGGATTATACGCCGTGCACGTGCCCTCCTCACTCCCAACTTTGTAGGCCGAACAATAATTGGCACACCTAACGATAGCCCACGCGGATAACACTTTCGATATACTACTACTGCGATCCATATTCCATATGTGTTCGGCTATATCTATTTTTAACCTCTTCATTCCCTCGGATTTGAACGAGCTTCAACTGCGTCCTTGGTGGGATTGTTTTGATCGTTTCGCACGTTCGAAAATTGTTATTTCAACCATTTTAAATGATTATTTTAATTAAACAAGCGCTTCGATTAAAAATCTAAAAAGTACGGAATACACCTGCGTACTTCAAACAATCATTTGGATGCTCGCCAGCGCAAAACAATATAAGCGAACCGGAATAATGAACATTAATTTCTAGCGTTTTAAATATACAACGATAACACATCTACATTGATCAACACGTGGATCGATTACATATTATTTTTACGTATTATTATTACTCGATCACCCGTGTTGACGATTTGAAATCCGAGTTAACAATGACTATCCATTCTTCACTAAAATTCAGTAATTAACCAGTTCGGCGAAATTCTTAACAAGTGTGTATTCGGTGCGGTGATATAACAATGGACGCACTCGTCATGCACGTATGCGACCACATATTTGACGTCAGCAAGATACTCATCAGCCTGTATTTTTTTTTCATTATCGGTATTCTCTTTGTACAATGCTAGTGAATGAATCTTTTTCACGGCTCGTCGAGCTTTTGTTGGCCGAGCAACGTCTTAGAGCGATCGTGGATTTATATACCTAGAAACACTCCGGCGCATGACAAAACAAAGCACAAACTGTATACACGTGTAACAAAGTGTATACGCGTGAGTGTTTTTATCTTCTAGAGAAAAGCGTTGATTACAATTCCAGTTGCTGAACTTAATGTTTTATTACCAGCCTAGCGTACAAATTTATTTAGAATGAAAATTGAAGATAAATTCACAACTAGACCAATATACAATTAATTAAACAAATTTCCAATACTATACTATAATTATCAATACTAGCTTTTAGTTAGCTAACATTATTGTAACTTTGATTAACCTTGCATCTATGTAAATCCGTCAAATAGTATCTGTAACGTAGGTTACTCGTGATAAATTTCTGATTAAAATCATAACTTGTTTTGCTACTATTCAAAGACTATTCATTAACTAATTAAGAACAATCTCTATTTTACGATTTTTTTACTCGATTTTTTAAAACAAAAAATTTGGTTGATTAAAATTAGATTTAGCGATGTAATTTTTTTTCATTATAAAAATCCACAAGCTATGTGAACCATTTTTAATAATAAACGAATGCTAATAATTATTTGCTTTATAACTAAGAGAGTTTCAACTAAAATTTAATATCTGTTGATTTAGGTACAGCATGTTCGATGCACTAGACCTCGAGTACGCATTGTTACGTGCTGCAGCGCGAGGATCGGTCGGGCCTTACTCATTATCAGAATCCTTGCACAAGTTGACCTTCACTCAGAGCCTGGCATTTCCAGCATTAGCTAGAGGCTTAGCTTCGAAGAAAAGTGAAGCTGAAGCTAATGGCAATTGTCAATCGGACGGTCACCAACGCACCGAAAGTGGCATGAACGTGTTTGCGAAAATAGTGACAGCTCTTGTGTTAGTGCTCGTGAGTGTGCTTGTGTTCGGGGTGGTTTACAAATTCGTAAGGACGTGAGGGTACCTGCTGGTGCCAGGAGGCGCTGTTAAACAAGAGTTGCCACCGCGCTCTTACTTCGGCAGTTCTCTTGGTGCCAGCGATTCTGCTGCTCCGCTGCGATACAACGATTATTTCAACGATGACAGCTCGTGAAATGTTGTTGATACGATATTAGCATTGACTTTTCTCAAACAGTCTAACGAACTGTTCAACTGAACTAAATTTGTGAGCTTGCGACGAATTTTCGACGTAGCTTTGTGGACTTTCTAAAATTCATATAAATTTATATTCGCGTATATGGTAATGTCATAAAAGAACAATAAATGATAGTTTGCCGATAGAATTGGATATACTCTATAGCGAATTATATTTTTTGGAACGCATATTACCGATATAGAGGAGATATTTTTCTGTCATTACTAATGCATATTGTATAATATAAACACAAATTTAAGTTTTCATCGTTTAAAATATGAAAAGTGATCAAATATACTGTAAATATTTACTGTTTTTTAAATAATTAGGTGAATCTTGCTAAAATAAAAATCGTGAAGAAACTAATTGTTTAAATATTCTTCGTTGAATAATACTTCATTTCTCTAAAGATTATTTTGAATATTTATGGATTCAATAAGTACATGCTCGCGTAAAGTACGTGTTACTAAATAACAATCATTCCGTCGCTTTGAATAGTCCGCAAATCATATATAACGTTAAAAAAGAAGTAAAAATGATACAAGGAAAAGAACTAATTATTTTGTCAAATTCAACATTGAAATATAATAATTTTATTACTATTTTTTATCTATTTTTGCATAAGTTATTAATTCTCAATCGATTTTTGTTATTTACTATTGGATTCTATGGAACTTTTAAAACTCTTTTGGAATTTATTAACTCTTTCAACATTTCGATATATTTTATTTAAAACTTATCAATTAAATTATGAAAAAAATATTCAGTAGACTACATACAAGTAAAGCGGTTCGTTGAAACAATACATTTGGAGGTTTGTATAAGTACAGAGAGCAAATTGTTTATTATAAAAATTTAAAAAATCCAGTTCACATAGATGTAGATAAGAAATAATTTTAAGACAAGTCCATCATTGATGATATTACATTAATTATACAAAACAAAACTTTTCAACAAAAATACTACAAAAATACTTGATATCTGAATAGCTATGAAAGAAAATATTTACGTCACCTCTATTCTTACATCTTTTTGTGTCTTTTGTCACATGATAACTACATATTTCAATACCATAAACGTCCAGCAAAAATTCAAAATAATTTATTGTCAGTTTAAGTTCTTTTTTTAAGTTATGGATAACAATTATAAAATAAAATTCTTGTGTATGTTTTGAAACAATATTGCTAATAAACATAATTACGTCTGTAATTGTTTTTTTTAATTACTAAAATGATTCAAGAGCTGAATTAATTGTTATAGCAAAATAGATACAAGTCTTTACTTTTGATCTAATTTTTTATAAGGTGATTTGAATGAAATTCAAATCGTTTTAGCAAAATCTTTTCAAAATAGATACTACAAATTTTTACAATATTACTCACGAAAAAGTCAAGGAATGATGAATATAATATTTTTATTAAAAAACATACCTTATCTGAATCAAATAAAATACTATTGATTAGAAGTCTATTTCCCAATATTAACGGGAGCGTAGAACAAAACAAATTCCGAATAATCATAAACAAAACAATGTTTTATTTCTTAAATATACAATGGCTATATCGGAAGAAATATATATTATATATAAATTATTATATTATTTATTTTTTTTTATAAATTAGTAGTATATCTATAAATATTTCGTTGGGAATTCTTTTTCATTGAAAATGGTTAATCATTTTTCATTTAAGTGTTATAAAATAATCATGAAAAACACACGACAAAATCAGTGATACTTATATAAAGAAGAGATCAAATAAATAATGAAATTTGTTAATTTTGTATGAGTTACGTGTAATCAAATCAAAAACTCAACGTTGTGAAGGAAACTTTTTGATACGTAATACATTTTCAAATATTACAATATTACAGTAAGAACTGGTTCACACGTGTCAATAAATAAAATATAAATATGAAATATTTCGCTACATAGTACATAATATCACTTACCAGATATTGATTGATTTATACATCCGAAATTGAAAGAGATTAACCCAACCCAACCCATTATTATTCAAGCGAAATTGAAGCCAAATAGCACCAAACTAACTATTAAATGACTGTCAAGACGAAAAAAAAATATCCATGTTTTTCTTCTGGCAATTCCAATTTTTTTGCGAAATTATTTCAATAAATTACAAAAAAATTTACAATTTCAAAAAACTAATCATACCTATCGATCCTACACGGAAAAACAAGTATAAAACCTTTTTAGAACTTTCTTGTACACATGTAATCTATTACCTAAACACAGCCCTAAACGATTGGTTAAAAGAAAATCATGCCTAAATGTCTCGCGCAATTGGTTGAAGTAAAATCTTGATTTCCGAATAAACCTTAATTTTCTAACAATAATACATTAACAAAATAGAATCTGTACAATTAATTGGTATGATCAGATAATTTCGCATAAACGATGGGAATTGCAAAAGAAAAGAAATGTGGATACATTTTTTTCCGTTTTAATAGTTATACAATGGTTAGTTTGGTGCTATGTGGCCTGGATTTTACTTGGGTAATAGTGGGTTAAGAATAAAATATAAAAAGAATGTTGAACAAATAAAATATAAACTTTTTCATGTAACGTTGATTTCTCATGAAAATTTTGTAAATATTGTTTAACCAATCAAACCGACTATGGCGTGTTTAGATAAAGCTGGTGTTTCCGAAATTCATCTTGAATCCGATATATTTCGTATTAATTTATGAACGTTCTACAATATTTTTAAAAAGTTGCTCAAACATAATTTGCATAGTATATTTTTCATATTTATTTTTAAAGTTATGTCTTCTTCTTTAAACTTCCATTGATTTATCCACTCTCAATTGTTACTTGTGCATTATGAATAATGTCTGTAAATAAATATAATCACCAGCAATTCTATAAGGATTGCGAAGTAAATTATTATATATGAAGATAAATCAACACAAAGTTATTGTAAAAATATAGTATATATTGTATAACTACATTTTAAAGTATAGGTTTTCAAAAGCAAATTTATATTCCGCAAATATAAAAATTGCAAGGTCACTATTATTATCTTTATTTTTAATATTAAGTAAATGAATATTAGATCATTGTAATCAAAATATTTTAAAATTTTACGAACATAAATAATTAAAAGAAATAAAATTCTAAAAATGTATTTTTATGGATAAACTATATTTTTTTATTACTTCAGCCATAATAAATTATCTATACAAACAACTAGTGTCATGTCTTATTTACCATTACTATTTTTTGCGTAATAATTAAAATTTTGAAATGTCAGAATAAACTTATTTTTATGGACTTTAAAAAATACTGACAACCCATTAGCAGTTTGCTTTCATTAATTTTTTTATTCTATATAATTTTTTATAATTTTGTGTGTTTCAAAGTTTTTACAAACATAATTAATTGATTATATATACATCACATGGAATGTATATTTTCACATAAAATAAAATAAAATTATCGAAGAAATACAAATTGTTATAATGTAAATTATAAGAAATATAATAGTAAAACTTAATTTGTGTGTGTGTGTGTGTGTGTGTGTGTATGTATATTTGTAAGTATGTATGTGTGTATAATTAAATTGATCGTGCGTGATTTCATTTTCAAGTTATTATTATAAATTTTCAATTGGAACGTTATAGATTGAAAAATTCGATTTCAGTAAAAAATTGTGGTTATTTATTTCAAGGACTCTACATTAATTATGTATGATAATCTAAAATATCTCTAAAACTCGTAAACCAAATAAGTTACAAAACGAGCTCAGTTTTTAGATGAAATAGTACATTACAATATAAGTGCGGAAAAGTAGATTCTTGTCTCGTGTGGCGCTTACGCTCGAGCGAAGCAAGCATGTGTCACACAGTATTTTTCGACACTCTGTGCGGAAAGTGCGTTTTTCCCGCACGCTCGGCAAAAAACGTGCCTTGAAAATCGCACTTTCCACACGTCGTATCAAAAAATACGGTACAGCACATATTCGGGAATAGTACATTACGGTACAAGTGCGGGAAAATAGATTCTTGTCTCGTGTGGCGTCTCGCTTCGCTCGGGCGTAAACACTACACGAGACTAGAATCTGCTTTCCCGCACTTGTATCGTAATGTACTATTTCGGTTACCTGAGTAGGGTCAGTCGCGTGACCTTTCTTTTATGACCGCCCGCGTTTTGTTTAATGAACCAAGCGTATTGCATGTTTAGACTTTCCCCGGTCCCTTCCTAGTAATTATATTTCAGAAAAATTTTATAGAGCAGAAAGAAAATAGTACAAATATAGCAGTCGAGCTATCATAATCATTAACAGAGAAATGAGTAATTGAGAGAGTGAAGTAAGTTACGTTGATGAAATGCCAGTAGAAATTACCGAAGCTACTCAAAACGTAGTTTTGAATTAGTTACCCGAGCAAAAAAAAGCTATATACCCAAGTATACAATCAATTTAAAAAGTAACGACAAATCAAAAATACCTGGTCATTTGTAGAAGAGGTGTGTTCACGCTTCGAGCACACCCCGCTGTGCTCTACTTCTCAGTCGCCCCGCCCGTCGGGTTTCCCCAACACGTGCACTTTCTCTGTCACCCGGCGCTTTGGGTTTTCCCCAACATGTGCGTTGTCTTTGTCGCCCAGCGCGTTGAGTTTTCTCCAACATGTGCATTTTCTTGGTCGCCCCGCCTCGGACTAATCATTGTCATGGTGTCTTTACGCTGGCGCTATTTTTTTTTTCACAGTTTGCTGGTCAATCGGTAATCTCCTTTTTTTTTCAAAAATAATAAAACCCAACCTTTTCAGTAAAATCTTAGATTTTCTTTACTGTACAACTCCCTTTCCTAAACGAATTTACATTTGCAGCTATATAATGCCTACTAACCTTTTTCAATTATATTTGAAGTAGTGTATTTAGTATATTTTGCTATACTGAAAGACAGTTTTGCACCATCAATTTTACGGGATCGCTATGCAATGTTGAATGTCACAATGAAAGCATGTGATAATATAGACATTAAAAATTATAATAAATTAATATTAAACTTGAAAAAAATGTAATACTGTCTTAAAATGTAAGAAATTAAAAACTTTTTCGTTGACTAAATTTTTGAAATTTCTGGAGAGATCACCCGATAATAATTATGTAGGGATCAAGGTAATATGGTATAGACATTTTATTTAAATCTCGTAATAGACAACTTTCTTATATATCGAGCCATTGGTATAAATACATTCACCTACAAGTCTTCGCAAAATTGCCGCATATTTGAATTTGGAAAATTCTGAGTTGTATACTGGTCACTCATTTCGACGAACGTCTGTCATTTTATTGATTAATACTGAAGCAGATATCACTACACTTAAAAGGCACAGAAGATAGAAGTCGAATACAGTTGCAGAAGAATATATTGAAAATTCGATTTCGAAGAAGTATCAATTAAGTAATCGAATTGAAAGTTACGTTTTCATAACAGCATCAATTTCATGTATCACAGCTGAGACAGCACCAAAATAACCAACACTAGATAATCTTACCAGTCAAAATCCACGCCTATCCACTTCCAATTATCAAGTGGAATCTTTTAAATATAATGATCGTGAAAAGTTACGTTTAAATACCAAAGATAATGCAAGTATAATACATATATCAAATGCACTTAAATTAGATAAAATCAATACTTTGAATTTTTACGATTGTAATATTACATCTAATATGACTCTCAATATCAATAAGACTTTTTAAGATTTAGTGTAACTTGTCAAGTATTTTTGATAATTCATTTTTATCATAATGTATTACAATTGAAATAGTTTAATACGTCTTGTTTTTCTTTCATACCTATCGATGTCTATTGTCCACTCTTTCCTATTTTTTCATTATTTCAGAAACCATAATTTTATTATTTTATATCTAGTAAATGTTTTCTTAGACGTTCTATTACATTGAAAATAAAAAGCATACTCTTAAAAAAATTTCACTTCGAGTAACTTTTTTTAGATCGGTTTTTTTGTATTTTCTAAAAGGGGTTTGTATCTATTGTCGAACCTTTCGCACCTTGCACGAGAAAATACTAAACAATACGCCACCGCAATGTAATTAGCAATTCCCACACGTGCGAATATTGCCGTCTGAGCGAAGAGAGGTACTTTGCGTTCTTTTATCATAATGTTCTATTTCCGTAAGAGTCAGAAACAAACCCCGAAGGTACGGTGTGGGTAAAAAATAAAAATTCTTGATATTAGTTTTAAGCAATTGCAATAATACGGCTACCAATGTTAAATTATAATCTTGTATATAAAATTTATTTAATTCTTTTACAAAGTAAATTAGAAATTAACGATTTGTTTTATTTGACACTTTAGAATTTCAAATATTTAATTTAATATTTTACTATACATTCTCATTAGAATCATATAAATCTTTTTTTACCCTTTATTTAAATAAATCAAGTGAGCCAATACCAGTCACATGCTGACACATAGAATTTAAGTTATTGATAACTACACGCATACGTGATACATACGCACGTACATGTACATAAATGCATACAGACTTTTTCTAAAAATGTTTTATATAAGCTGTATAACTTCATAATATTTTTTATGAAGTAATCCATCAATTTATGATTTTCTTTATAATTAATAATATATTTATTTGAAGATAAACTTTATAAATAAAAGTGATATTTAATAAATTTATATATCATAGAATAAATGTATTTGAAAGAGAGCATTAGGGTTATTTTATCATATTATTTTGAAGTTAAACCATTGACGGAATATGGGCTTCTTATATTTTCAAGGACACACGAGCATTTGGTAACGTGTTTAGTTTATTATTTTTCTATGTTAGGTAGCCAAAATAACATATTCAATTTTACATAACAATGCTTTTATGAGAAATTATTATAGTTACAAGTATAAGAAAAACTATAACTAATTTTTCTAATTTTTAATATACATATATGATGCTGGTATAGGTGAAACAAAATTGAATACCTACTCAATGCCTGGTACGAATATACCAATAATAAATCATACATTGATTAAACGCCGTAAGTGCTTTGTAGAAAAATTGATTAAGACGTTGACTGATGAATGGCGTGTAGTTGGAATTGAGAAGAAACGAGTACTTTACTTTAGAGAAATCAAAGCAATTGTAAGTGATATTTTCATCAAACTATTTGCGATGCAAGAGATCAATCATTATACACAATTATGCATTTACTTGCTGTTAATTATTAATAATTCATAGATCTATTAAAATAATAAATACTATGTATAAAATGATTAGGTTAACAGTATAATTTTTAGTTATAAGTAATCTCCAAATTTGGATACTATTTAAAACGTTAAAATTCAAAAAATCATCAGTTTAATTTTGAATAACTACGTATTTAAAAGAAAACACTCTAGTATCCTTAAAATCTACAAATTCTCTTAAAACTTATTTTATTAAATTACTCAATCGATAATATGTCGTCGTTAAATATCTAGGGATACTAATTAGTACCGATTTGCTGAATATGTTAGTTACTGTATTAAATTGTACCATGTGTACCTAATACACGTACATACATATATTACGTGCTGTCACATAACAGTAGCTCACATGACTTAATTCAGCCAATTGGATTATGAATAAAATGACTTCACTTACCAAGCCGTCAATCTTTTGAGAAAAAAAAAAGAAATCTTTTAAGAAAAGATTTATTGTGTTTTCTAATATAGCTTTTTGTTAATATATCCAGCTAGTCTTGTTATGAGCTTAAAGATTGGTTAGTGACTATAACGTCCAAGCTGATTGGAAATGATAAGTCGACTGTTAAGAGCGAGATAAAAGCATTTTTTGAGACGTAATTATAACTTACTCAATCTGAGTGTTACGTCCTCCCTTTGATTAGTTGGATGTCACGTTGCTAACATCCAAAGTACATCAGAGTCTTTTCAAGTAGATTTATTTGACAATTAGTAGTTATTGAAATTGATTGTGATCATAAATATTATATTGTTTGAACAGGTTAATTTTACTGAATAAAATATTCATAGAGTGATATAATATACACGCCAGCGCTAGTGAAAAAAATTAAGTTATTAACAAGTTTCTAATATTAACATAAGTAACATGTTTTATAATCATCTTAGTAGTGTATTATAATTCTGGCCTGCATTGTTAATGGAACATATAAAAAGAACAGTTAACAAATAAGAAAAATTTTAAATATGCCACCAGGGAGTCGTTGGAAAAATCGATTTATTTCAACGAAATTCTACGATAAAGAAGCAGGTATTTCTATCATTGGTCAAAAAAATAAAAATTCATACAAAAGTGATGAGTTGAACGATAGTGAATTAAAATTGAAAAGACGACGAATAATTGATTTACATTTCCTTTATAACGTGTTATTCTGTTCATTATGCAAAACCGCCTTATCTTTAGATAACATTGACAAAGAAAACTTGCATGAACGTGATTCAAGCATTTCTCGAAAATGTAAAAATTGTGTATTCTTTGAAACAATTCTTAGTTGGAAAACGCATGCAAATAGAATCCATGAGACTCCGTATATAATCAATGAGCGTGATCGTAGTTCTAAAATCATATCGAGTGAGTTTGCTATATTTTTTTTAATTGATTTTTTATTTACATTATATTTTTAGTCGTTTATAGTAAAAATAACATATTTGATATTTAGGAGATCCATGCGATACATTGAACCACAGCTCTGTTGAAAAAATCTTAAGGACCATGAAAGTTCCATATATGACGTCTAGAACCTATGTTAAGTACGAACATGAGGTTGGACCTGTTGTAGAAACTCACTTAGCAGAACATTGTGAAAAGATTGTTTGATTATATGTTGACTATGACCTCGTATCTTGTACATTCATTTGAATGATTTAATTTATAAATATACATGCTTTGATATTAAATAGATTGATAAATATACTATTGTTAAAATATGTTCGAAACATAACTTATAAATTTATAAGCTTCATATAATTTATTATTAATAGTTGAAAATTAAAATTTTTTATTGTTGCATAGTTTAGGTTTTTTGATTTCTGGTGCTTGCATTCAGCTAAAATTTTCAAAACATAATTTTTCTATGTTAGTTGGAATAAAAATAAATCACGTCAGGTAAGTGCCATTGAAAATTGGTTTTATTAACTAATATTTCAAAATTAACAATGAATAAAAAATCAATTTGCACAAATTCAATTGATTGTTCAAAAAAGTGGTAGAGGTCAGGAAAAACGGACGTTGTTGAAAGATTCTCAATAAATCTTGTACTTATACTTAAATCGCTCACCATCATATATTTATATGTATATTTTATTCGTTTGATAAGCGATTTTTTCGGGGGTTTTTCTTCATTCACCCCAAATAACCACTTTCAACGTTGCATATGTTTACATTTCCACTTTCTTTCATTCTTTTTTTCAAGTAATATAGATTAGAATTAGATTTTCACGTTCCTTCTCAAGTCCACATATTTTTTTATAATACCCTATACATTTACATACAGCTTTTGAGAACTAAGATATCTACAGTTATATTTTATTTTATGGAACGAAATCGACGTTCCAAGACCACTGATAGAACTTTTCACTGTTTATTTCAATTTTTATATTTTAATGACGAAATATTTTATTTTTTATCTAAGATCACCTTTAATTCTTCAATACATCAAAAATATACAATAAATGATAAAATTGTTCTAAATCATTGCTTGAGTGGTTTTTTAAAATAAAACATTTGCTAAAACGTCACGAGCTAAATATTCGTTACGACTTGAATTTTTCTTGTATAGATTATATTTAAAAGTAATTAATGGCGTATAGTTTAATAAATTAATAATTAGTTTACAAAGAACGCCGATCAATCTTAATAAACGTAGTATTGAGTTTTGAGCTCAGTTTTGAGTATTGAGATCAATGATTTTTAGACCTCTAAGTTCAAGTTTTATCATTTATTTTATATTTTTGGTATTGTATAGATTTTCTAGATCGGACCTCATTGCCACTAGTTTTATTACCATGTCACATATACTTTCATTTGATAACCAGCACATATTGTAAGTAGTCCTTTATTTTTTATTTATTTTTATTTTTTGTTTTCTGATTTTTTTAAATAAACGAATGAGAATAGACTCATTCATTTGGTTATCATTATTTACATGTATATATTTCTTGTTATTGCTAATTTACAAAGATTCAAAATCTTCGCACATGACTTTGTCGGTCAATTCATAATTATCGTGTGATGTTTTTTGAATGTTAGTAAAATTTATTTTGTATGTTAAAAACTTCGAAATATGATTTTCCATGTAATGAATCAAAATTTTATTCTGAACATGAACTCGATCAAGTTAAAAATGGAATATGAAATTAAAAGAAACATTTAGTTCGTAAATATAAAATCGTCGACAAAGCTGAGTGCGATGATAGAATTGAAGAATTTTTTATCTGTCTGGAGGAATAATTCATACATTTATCATGCATTACTATTTTTGAATCTGTTTCAATTTCGATTGATTTATCTTCATCTCCACGTTTTACTTAGGCCGCGCATTAATTTTCATTCTTTACTACATTTTCCGCGATAAAAGTATTACTCATCTTCAAAATTTATGTTACATATATATTCCTTACAAGATAATTTCTCAACTTACTTTACTTACATCAGACTATGTAGAAAAATAAATTGTACTAACGACCGTGGAGTCGTAAAGGTGAATAGCCCGGTTTCATTGATACCATTTGATTGCGTTATAGTATCGTATTTATAAGCTTATAGTTGAAATAAAAAGTGGTGTAGAACAAAGAATTTTTGTACCTATTCAAAGTGCCTATACGAGTAGAACATATTGACACATACTTCTCAAAACCTAGGAAAATGTCCATTATTCGTCTTATTAATATATTTAATTTTGTGTTAATGAATTTAATTTATATACAATCAATTTCTATTTGACAATATATAATTTGAAACAGTGTAAATAAGACAAGTAGTTTCATCAAACAATCGATGAATTTTTTCTTGTACCTTTTATAATTTATAACCAACATTTATATATCATTTTGTTCTGTTTGTGCTCTTTATTTTTCCATTCTCGAAAGTTTTTATTGAAGTAAAGTATACAACCCTTTGAATTTATTTAGGTTTATCGCTTTCCTTTTTTTTCAATTTTTCTCACTTTCGACTTTCTTGTTCCCTTTTTCTTAATTTGCATAGCGTTCAATTCAATATTTTGTGGTAATAAAAATCATGCTTTACACTCATAATTTGTAATGTGTTTAAAATTTTCATGATATTTCTCTAATAACCTTTTTTAGTTTTCTTCTGTACTATGCCATTTTTTTATTTTGGTCTCTTTATATACGGTAAGTCTTTGTTTTCTTTCTTTTAATATTTTACATTTTTCTAAATATTTCTATCCATAATTTCTTCGGTGTCACTTACATTAGAAAATTAAATGAAAAAATAAAAAATTCCATAGAAACATAATAAGTTAAATGAATACAAAGTATTTTTATAGTTATTAATATATTTCTGTTTCCTTATGATCATCTTAGATTTTTGAGTGATAAAAATATTTGTGCAATTTTTAATGTAAAACGATATTTTGAGCAATCAAATCTTACTTGAATGCTTAAACCATTGTTTATACGATTCATTGTTGAAAAAATATGAATTTTACATTTAAAAAATGTTATTAAAAAAAATTTATATACTGTTTTGTGCTGCTTTTCTCGTGACTAGAACCGATGGCTAGACTCAACTGATACAATCTTCAACGTAAATATTCTTATACTAAATGTTTGAATGTTTTTCTATTTTATCTGATCAGATTATTTATTCCAGTAAAGAATTATTTATTATGAATATTTTCATTCTGGTTTTTATATGTTTTAAATTTTGTATTATATCCTACACTCTTTAGATGTAGGACTCTTATTATTGAATTGCACGCTTTCTTGCCTGAATTTTTAGTAATAGGCTATATTTGACAACACTTACTAAGCTATTACATTCCAACTTTTCATACGTATTTTTTCTTTCACTCTACATTATACGTTAAATATTTATTCCGATCTTATAGATTTAACAGTTTTCTTTTATGTTTTCTGTACCTGTTTCTTTTGATTTTATCATTATTCACTTATAGTTCTTTCACACATTCCATAATAATCAATTATCAGAAAGCTAATGAAAATCTGAAATGAAGATAGAAATCAACACATCTCATAAATAAAGTTAACAAAAAGTCTCGTGAAACATGGACCATACTTTAAATAAAATTAATCAAACAACTTTGATATTATATTCAGTCCACTTGTACTAAAAAAACTATCGATAACTTTACATGAAAATATAAAAATTCTAAAGAAAATGCTTTCTTTTAATTTTACAATGATACAACAGTTTTTGACTTCTTAGATAGCTGTTCTCGACTGCCATAGTTTTATCTTAATTAAAACTATACCGAACATTTGTTCTGATCACAGCACTTTCAAGCTGTTATTTTTTTCTGGAGAATTTGAAGAATTTGTTAACGAAACGTCAAAAGCTGTTTTCTTTCCATACTCCGTCCACCAATCAAGCACAGTTTCAACTAAGGCAAAAGTTTTTAAATTTCATATAAAAGTAAAATTAATCAATTATAATTTTTTTTCAATTATTCTATCAATGTTTTTCTTAGGCTACTGTCGTGATGGGATAAAAAATGTATACATAAAATTGATTAAAAGTTTTCGTGAGCAGGACGGCCAAAGGATTATTAATTTATTCGGTAAATAAATATGTTATTAAATATAAACATAAGTAGCCTTGAACATTGACATCTAGGAATGTTAAAAGTTCTATGGTTCACGTTATGATTCGGTTACCATATAACCTATTCATACGGTAGTTATACGGTATTTGGAACAAAACATACTGGTACATGGATACCTTTGATATTTCCGCTATTCCCAACGAAGTTATCACAGACTTAAGAAATGTCTCGTGATCCTTATACTGACGCTACATCACATGAGCATTCAAAACATTTGTTCTTTTGCTCATCGGATTTATTGTATAATTTTTTATTAGACGAACAATTTAAATATACATATTGTTTTTAACGTAGAATAAATCTTTAACAAAGGCGCAATGACAATTTTTTTTACTGTTGAGTGAACACAATATTTGACAGCAAAGCGTTAGGCTACGGAAATACGAAATTACTTCATTAGGCTCATGATACATTTCTTACAGACATATACTTTGTTTTTCATAAATTTGCTCGACGCTTTTATTTTGTGCACAAATGGTCACTATGAGAAATGTTATCACCAAGATAATTAAATTTCACCACTGAACAAGAGGAAAATATTTATAGATTCATTTTAGTAGTTAGAACTTTTACAGAAGAATATCAAGGTGAATGAATTAATAACTATTCTATTTTCATTCTGTATGTTGACTTACTTAACGTTATTTCAAAATATACAATAAATATCGTATATATTACAATATTTTCAAATATACAGTTTTTATAAAAAGTTCATAAGTTTTTTGAACGATCTCTAAAAGTACTCTGAGATAGACTACTCACTAAATATTGTTCGCGTTATTTACGAGGCTTATTACAGCTTAAAAAATAATTGGAGTTTCTTCTTACACGTGATCAAATCATGTACATTTCACAAAATTCGAAAGACATTAAATAGATAGAGTTGGCAAAGTTGTTATTAAACGTCTGTCAGAGCTTCAATGCAGATCTGTAAGAATTCAATCAATTGCCGAATGATTTCATGAATTATAAGTAAATAATAATTACTTAAGTTTGAAGTGCAACATTTAAAAAAAGAAATCATAACATCCAAATATCATAAGATAAGTCCATATTCCGCAGCCTAAACAACATCATCAATAATACCGTTCTAAATAGTACGATATATATATTTATCGGCTTAGTGCTTTTCAATTTATTAATGTCCATTTACAGTTTACGAAGTATGTACAGACATGCAGATAACTGTTTAAAGACGATCTCAAGTTTGAATTCATTCTCCGTCATCGTACTATTTTTCTCAACATTTTCTGCTTTCTCTTTGGCTACAAAGACGACGAATCGAAGTAGCATGCAATGATGGGAAAGATCTCGAAGATCGCGATCCACATCTATTATGATAGTCGTAGAGTTTTTGCTACCGTTAGGAAAGACAGAGCATTATTTAACCTGATTATCATCGTTATATCTTTTCTTCTGATTTTTCTTTCCTATTTTTTGTTCATATACTTCAGTACACACAGATACGGAATTCGTTATTTCTCTGACACCAGTGTAACGACATCATCTTATACTCCACGCAATAACGCGTGTATTTCTTCTGTGCATTAGCCATGTGCGTTATGTTTTTGTGGCTTGATTCGCCCGTGACCGGCGATCGTCACTTCCTTCCCGACCAGCTTGTGATCGAAGAGCAATTTTTGTGTTTCCATTATTATCGCTTGGATGTATTCCTTTACTGGTAGATGATTGGGTGTGTTGGTTCGATGGGCAAATCACTGTCCAGGCGAAGAGGTACGCCATCTTTTGTCATCAAGTAATACGTCAGTAACTCTCCTTTGCCCTTTACAGAGACCATACCACGTTGCTCGAAACCATAGCCAAATGGTTCCAAAATTTGCCGCGTTTCGTTAGTGACCTGAAAAATCATTATTTACATTATTTCTTCCTTTAAATTACGCACTACTAATAATTATTAATTGTTTAATGATAAAATAACTATTTATATCAGCAATTTTGCTCAAGGCTATATGTAGTAATCCAAATGCAACGTTGCGCAAGTCTCCCAGAAGAATGGATTTTATGAAACGAAAAAAGCTGGAAAAGACTCATGAATATCAAGATGAAGCACTGTACTGTGATAGATCTTTTCAACAAAGTATGTATTAATGGCTTTTAAAATGTCACCGCGGACTGAAATCGATAACATTATTTTACTCAGAAACGATGCCAAGAGCTTAGATATACCTAAATATTTTCAATTTTGCATAATTTTATTTGTGTCTCGCATTACGAAACCATTATGCGAAATAAATATATGATCATTACATCATATAGTATAGATGTGAACAGTTTTTATCTTATTTTGAGATAATAAATAGTAGTTGGTGAAATAGTAGCGTAACAAGGACTCGTAAGCTGTATATGCGTTATTGTCGAATAGTTGATTGAAAATAGAATGAGTAAGTTTCACATATTTTACATGAATACTGCGACAAAGTAAAAACCCACTTGCAAGAAGCCAACTTTGCCAGTACTCTCCATCCTGGATGCGACATTGACGGTGTTGCCCCAGATGTCGTAATGAGGTTTTCTAGCGCCGATAACGCCGGCGGTAACAGGGCCGTGGTTTACGCCCATTTTCAGCACAAAGTGGTTGAAGCTCTGTTCATTTATATGAGAAAGGGCTTTCTTCATGTCGATCGCGAACTCAGTGAGTCGCGACAGGTGCTGCCACTGTGGTTCATTCTTGTTTTCCGACGAGTCGGTTATCCCTGAAGCGGCCATATATGTTGAGCCAATTGTCTTGATCTTTATGATGTCCTTGTACTTTTCTTGATCGAGGATCTGTTCAGGATAAATGTTGTTAATTTTTATAAGATTTTTTATTCAAAATGGATTATTATATCGTTGAATTTATTAGTGTATGGTGATTCATTAAAATCCTTTACGCGCGATACTTTAGGGATCGAAACACAAAGTAAATAGTAGTTATGAGCGTTTCCATAAATAAAGTTATTTAATTTGAAAAAACTCTTTTGCTTTTCAAACAGTTAAGTTTTTTTCATTTTTGTAGAGCATAAATGTATGAAGTATCAAAAACCTCCTGAAAATAATTTGATTCATCACTGCATACATTTGTCACTATTTTATATCCACAGTAGTGCTTATGTCAATAAAGACTTAACTTCACCTTTGATCATTTTTAAAATTTAATGAAAAACAAATAGAGATAATGTTAATGTGGATATAAATTTAAAATCTACAAATCAAACTATATTCTGGTGTATTTCATGTCTCCTATTCTTATCCTTTAGCTTTGAACTCTTGTGCATTATTAGATTTCAAAATTCTATAAGAATAAAATTTCGAGCAAAAAATAAACCAAAAAATAAATTTCTCAACGCATGTAAATGTGTAGAACTCGAATTGAAATTCATGTTAAATATTAACTTGTTTATGAGATTTCGAAAAAGCACAGGAAGTTATATTTCTTTATGTAACTGATTTTAACACGTCATCTACGTAATAAAGGGTGTGTGTCACAATTAGACGCGCTGATGGGCTCAAGTCACGCTATATAAAAAATCGTTGAATTTTTCTTGAATTGAGGTATGTTTTCTTAGAACCCCTCGTATATACAATAATTTATTCAAAATGCATATTTTCTCAATTAATGAAGTTGAAAAAGAATTACTCTAACTGAACGATGCTGCAGCACTCAATCAATTTTTCAAATAATGATATCCATACTTGCCAACTTAACGTCTCTATTGCTGTATTGTTGATCATGAAACAAGAAATCCGTTGACTTTACATATTTTCTTGATAATGTTGTTGGCGTTGACCAATATAATTCTGTGTCAAGCTACACGTTACACATAAAAATTTTTTCCAAAGCTCTTTCTCCCCGTAAATACAAAACTTATTCAACAAACAATTTTTCACAGTAATGGCGCAAAAGCTGCGTAGAAACATTCAAAATCTCGCTCAAAGAGAGCACTGCGCTAATTAAGCAAGTGCAGTAAAATTCCGTGAGAGCAAATACAAGGCGACGAAAATTAAAAACAAACGGTACTGCGGTCACGGCGAGAAATACAATGACCTAATTCGGGCGTTAGACTCGCAGAAATAGTCGTCCGCACGCAAACGAACAAAAAAAAAAAAAGAAGAAATAAAAAACGAAGCTTACGCTGACACATCGGGAACTTACGGCATCAAAGTCGGAGATGACCTCGTTAAGGAACCTGAGGCACTCGAGTCCCTGGTTGTTGATACTTTCCTCGCTGTAAAAGTCGGCGAAGTTGGGCATACTGGCGAACAGGACACCCACTTCGGCATAACTTTGACTGTAAAGGTCATCATGGTGGCGTGTATTGGAGAGAAAGTAGGCAGCAACGTGTGGCGGCAATATGTTGTAGATTAGGGCAGCGTTTCGTCGTTCCATGTCAGCCGCACGTTCGCGTTGTGCCTCCACTTCGCGGCCGCGTAGATACAGGATGCGACGTGACCTTTCCGTCTGCGTTGTAAGTTCCATATTGACAGAACAGAAATACAATGAATAAAGCCATAATTGATAAGCATAGCAACAGTGTTGTTGCAAAAACTCAGGAGCCATTTATAGATTTTTAATTAGTAAATATGAAGTTGGATGCTTTGCTCAACGAACCCGAACACGAAATTCAAAGTCCAAACGTAATAATGGATGTTAATTATTTAAGCGTGTTCGTACCAATCTGCATCTAAAAAATACGGTTCATAGCAGGTCGTACGTAAGGTATTCAATTATTTGAATTTTATATTTTAAGCGTCTTATTTCTTTAGAACCTGTAAAATTCATGGAATTTATATGCTTCGTAGCTTCCAGGAAGAAGCTTTCAGGTGACCCAATTCCCGAGTTTAACGCTGAGTGGCTTTGAAATATTTGTTGCGCTGATTTTAGACAGTAGCTTGTTAAAGTTGCATTCGAGTACTTTTCAAATTAGCAATACTAAAAGCATGCCGATTCAATAACCACTTTGGAGAAACTTGACAGATAAAACAGCTTTACTTGATAGCTTGTTACACTAAAAAATAGGAATTACAAATACCTGAATCGCAATGGCCAACAAACTATCGTCTTCTACTGCTGATTAGATGAAATCCCTAATTTCTTATTTTTAATTTTCATTTAATCTTTTCAAGCCAAAAGAATGAAAATTCCTATCCGTCGGACACAGGAGCAGCTTGCGCTTTGATATCTCGTGAGCGCACGTTTCATATACAACACGGGCAGAAAGAGAGAGAGAGAGAGAGAGAGAGAGAGAGAGAGGGAGAGAGAGAGGGAGAGAGAGAGATTACGCGTACGGAAATGACTCGTTTAGGCCTATATTTTGCACGAATGGAGCAGTCATAGCTGAAGCGCCATTTATTCGTTAAAATTAATCAGCAGCCAATCCCTAGATCCTCATTGTTCAACTCGGTCCCATTTGGAATTGAGTCGGCAAAGCTGTCTCCTCTATCCAAGACCTCGGCTCGCTTTATCTTTATTCTAGTTTTTTTCTCTCCCTCTCCCTTTGGCTTCTCCGCTAGATCCAATCGGGTATTCATTTCAAAAGGGGCGCATTAGATTATTAAAGCAATGAGCGCGCAGCCGCAAGTAATTTTTAAACGTTAATTAGATTTGATATATATCTTGGTGAAACATTTTATCATGCCCTGTATTTTTTTTTTATTTTTAATTAACTTCTGCAAAGATACCTCGTTGTAATAACGAGTCTGAGAAGTACTCTGATACCAACGCGTGTACTTAATTTATACATTTCCACAGTTTGTGATTTACGTATAATATTGCCCCTTTTATTTCTCAGCCTATTTATATTTTTAATTAATAACAGACTGCACATCGACTCGCGCAACGTGCACTTAGATATAAATTTTATAAATTGAAGGTAAATGTCCCGTTGACGGCCGTTTTAACGCCAGATATCCTTGAGCGTGAAAGGTATTAAAAAGTACGGGGTGATCGTAAATAGCTGGTTATATTTATATCAAGCTCGATCACTTACATGCGGCATACAACAACACTTCGTCTAACATTTTTTATGTTTTTTCCTTAACATCTACCGGTGAAATGGCAGCACTTCTCTTTGTATATTTTTTACACAATCATCTAATAGCATAGTTACGATTTTATAAATAAACGTCGACGTAAATTTGTCTCACTGAGCTTTTAACTTATATTTTTAACGGAAGGTGTATATTTACAGTAATTGCTCATAGAATTACTCTATCGTAATATTTCATAGTTTGTAATATGAACGTACTATCAGCTATTTTCTTCCCAAAACAGTCTCTTTATCAAAACTTATACGCTAACTTTGCAATACTATAAGGAAAAATTTATTAGATTTATTATATTTCTTCAAAATATTTTATTAGGTTAAAAAAGTGATCCGTGAAATAATAAACGATAAATTTGTAAATTAAAAAATATCCATCCCAAATCAAGAAAAGTATTTGAAACATACTCAAGAGCATTTCTTTATGTTCGTAGTAAATATTTGTAGTAAACCGACACTGAAATTCACAAGTAAGAATGAAAAATAACTTACGTATCGAGCAACGAAGACAAGTGCTAGTGCGATGGTAAGTAGCGTAGCAGAGAGCGAATACTTGAGGTGAAAGATTTTTTGTCCAGGCGTAGAGAATCCCATGTCTTCGCGATCGAGTGTCGGCTCGAGGAACGTGACATTGATGGCGCACTGTGCGCCAGCCAGTAAGAACATAAGAAAGGCTTTGCCAAGGTAACAGATGTAGGCTGGCATGGAGATTGCAACCAAAGCCAGAACACCAACGTACGAGTAGTAAGACGGATACGGACAGTGGGTTGAAAAAGTTGGCGCCGAGCTGTTTGCCGGTGGCTTCACTGTCTCGATTATGCCGCAGTTTGCCTGCACGTACGTATGCCATTAGTATCGATTTGCAAACTATTCGATAGTTTCGTCGCTTTATATCGGCGCGCCCAGATGGCTGCACACTTTAACCGACTGTAACTTTAGGTTCCGCGAAACCGCAGTACATTTGATTTTTATATTCAGTAAGAAAACAGCGCGGCCAATCAACGTGATCGATTAAAAAATATTTTTCGGAAGCAACGTTATGCTCATTCAGATGAAATTCATCCGTGCACGTGGTGTCCTTCATTTTATTCTCTTGCGAACGCGATCAATTAAAGTATGCCTGCTCGCCGGAGAATAAATCAAAAACAATCGGTAAAATATTCAATATTTACTGAGAATGCAAGCGATCTGAAGGGAATGGAACTTTTACTCACCATATCCAACAAAAGAAAAGTGCCAAGTGAGAAGATCATAAGTAGTGCGAGAGTTCGACGAAGCCACCTTGCACGCACAGCGCTGCCGAGACACGTGGCACCAGCGAGTACGATGGCGAAGAGAAAGACGACGCCGGCGCCGCCGTAAGTGAATCGACCCCAGGGTTGTAATCGCCATAGCGGCGATGCGCACAGTACTACTAATGGTCCACCCAACAATGACAACGGCGAGAATGCTTCCTCCGCGCTGTGAAAGCCTTTCTCCAATTGTAGATCCTTGAACGCCAACGTTATCCAGGACGCGTGACCTCGTAGCTCTGCTCCACTGCCGACTAACGATACGCAATAGTAATGTTATCTTTATTGTAGATTCTTACTGGAATCTTGATCAGTCTTATTATATGCACTTTGAACTGGTTGTTAGCCAACTAAAAATTTTTTTTCAAAGTCTTACAGGACGAGAATGATAAGTTTTAACGAAGAGGATGATTAAATTACTCAGGCGAAAAAAAAAGATGATTACATTGAATTGAATAATGTTTGTATCAAAATTTGAGAGCTAGTCCCTAAGTAAATAATTAAAAACTTTACACACACATTTTCCTGAAAGACGTTTCGTTGGATGGTTTACTAACCTCTTCAGTCTTCAAAACAAAAAAAACTATTAAATGATATTACAAATACTAATGCCAAGCAAGATTTTTACTAAAGAGCACCCTTGTAATTGTGAAAATCTCGCTTAGCATTGGTATTTGTAATATCATTTAATAGTTTTTTTTTTGTTTTGAAGACTGAAGAAGTTAGTAAACCATCCAACAAAACGTTATCTAGGAAAATGTGTGTGTGAAGTTCTTAATTATTTACTTAGGGACTAGCTCCCAATTTTGAATGCAAACATTATTCAATTTAATATCAAAAGAGAATGAAACTAGTACTTAAAAATGATCTCATTAGAATTATACCTTCATTAATTGATGATTATTCGATCGACAACTGCAAGTTAAAGTTGACTAAAATTCAATAAATAAAAATCAAAGAAACACAATTAAAAGTCTGAAATTAGAATTTGCTAATTTACAAAAGCAGTAGTCAATAACCAAAAGAAGACCATGCCTATAAAGTTTATTTTTCACATTCTCAAATTTACGCCTAAGAATTCATACGTTTGATTAGTTTAATTATTTGCCTTTGAAGTGCAAGCAATTACAAGACGGGAGAATTCTATCATCAGAAATTTATTTGTCAAAATTCTCTCGGGAAGAAAATTCGTTCCAAATAAAGCATCCCTCCTTCGAGAAAACTTGAACCAAATCAAATAACGGACGAGAGTAACGAAATTTCGATAAAAATTCTCAGAAAATACACATACGTAACTGTATATGTATAACTAATAGGAAAAAATACCTCGACTATCAAGTTCCTCGCGAAGTCTTTTCCTGAAATCTTCGGAGTCTTCTTTATTAGTGCCTTCGATGTTGTTGCCGGTCTTCTCCTGCTGCGTGTAGGCTTGGTCATCGTATGACGCGAGTGGCTCGGTGTCAGCAGAGCTAAATGGCTTATCCTTGATGAAGTACGTTTTGATACCAGCTTTCGCCAATGCCTCTTCCCTCAGCTCGCCAAAACCTTCTTCTACCTCGAATTCACCGTTCAGAAAGCTCAGCGTCACGTTCGAGATGTGCACTCGGCTGGAATTAAAGCGTACCGAGCGATTAGACAACCTGCCAGCAAACGAGATCAAGTGGAACTTTCAAACCAAATAGCTTTTGTTATTCTCGATGATACTTCTCGACCTTGGATTTTTGCGAAAATATTCCGTCGGCAACTTTGCATTATTTACTCGTTACGCGTGGCTTCGTTCTAGATATTCATAATACCGTTTCTACTTGCAAAAACTTCTCATAGCTACACCGATAAACTACGCACAACAGTTTTGCTATGTACGAAAACAATATTTAGCAAGAAAACTAATCGTAGTAGTATTCTTCTGAGACTAACAATGCAACGTAAACAGAAGTATTTTCAATTATTTCGATTTTAACTCGAATAAAATTGTGCAATCTAAGAAATGAGAACAAATACACGTTTGTGCCACAACGAAATTTTCAGCAGATCGTTTTGTTACAAATAGAGATTCTGTATTAGGAATATTTTTTTAGGAATTTTTCTTGGCCAAAAGGATCCCTTGCTCACTAAACGCATTTATTTTTCTCTTTTATGTTGTTCGTACTGATTAACCGAAGGAGATTTTTCTTAACAAATAAAAAAAAAAGTTGCTTGATCTATATTTTTGCCAAAAAACAAGCATCTATAAACCGTAAAAAAAAGGTGTCCAATAGCAATAAAAATAGCAACATGGCACTCTCTTGGCTATTTTCCGCCGATGCTATTGCGTTATAGAGAGAAAACACGCCTTCTAGCTAAATAATATACACAGCGATAAATGTAAGGAATATGAGGGCTCGCGAAATAGTTCGAGACGTCGAAAGTTCGATATTACGTTATATAATTAATGGTTAAATTTTAGTTTTAGGTGTCGAGATTCAAAACGAAGAAAGAGCTCATATACGGGTGATCCATGCTGTTAAGTTTCTCTAAGACATTTCTGAGTGGTTTTCACAATACGAATAATCACGAATTATTAGTTATCAAGATCCATCATTATGATCTAGTGAATAAAAGTTGCACTTATCAATAAATTGATTTTAAAGATAACTAGTTTATCAAAAATTTCGTGGCGATTTCAATAAAAACTGTCAATTACTTGAAAATCGATTTGAAGTATGCGAATCTAAAGTGTCCATGCTTATTTTTATTGATATTATTTTAGTTTTCAAGTTTATAATCGCAATGGGAGAACTGAATGTTTTTTTATCGTGAAAATCAAATTTTAATGTTATATTATTTCCCTCAATCATCATAGAATCTTTCCAAGAAAGTGAAATAAAAAATCGACTCTTCTCATAAATAATTTGATTGTTAACTGATATACCGCGAGAATTTCATATACAGAATATTCATTCAACGTGAAAGGCATTACACTTTATTACTAAATGAAAAAATAAAATGAGATTTTAATAATTGTCATTCAATAATTGCATAATATTAATTCCACTGATAAAATTTGAATTAAAATATTTTAATGACTTCAAACATTATATCAATCAATTTCAATGCTTATATCTACACTAACGAAAAGAAAAATTCAACACTTTGGCGCTTGCTGTAGTGACTGGTCGAAAGCCCCCTCTTAACTAAATTAATGCGTTAATGTGCTCCCTTTCTTTTTGCAGAAGCCAAAAGCTCACCGTTGCTAACGGCTCCTAGTAGCACATCCTACTTGTTACTCTAGTCTACCTACATTCGGAAAACGTTTTTTTCGTCTTTAATATAAATCGTCGTAGACAAATATAATTGGTGTACTTATATATTAGGTCTGAAAGCGTTCGGTGTGTCTGTATGCTAAGAAGTAAGCTCCGAAACTACAAGAGATCTCCGTACACCCTGAATATGGAATTTCCGTTAATCCGTTTCTAATTCATTTCGTCCGCCGATACGTTAGTTTGCGAGGCTTCGCCCTCAAGAGCATATGTTAGTTAGATTCTCAATTCAACTTCACATTAAACTTAGAATTACACTACATTGTCGTCGAGAAATTATTGGATTACGCGAATGGTATATATTACGTGAATATTCAGTTAAGCACAACGGAACATCCCTTGTGCGTCATTGTTATGTGATTTATCAGTATGAATTTTTGGAAAAAATTGACAAATCGTACGACTTTTTTTGCATTTATTTCAGAAATTTTTCAGAAAGCACAATATTTTTTCGTAGGAAAGATGGAGTTGAAATCATTAAAACTTTTTCCTATGCGTATATCCGCGCATAAATCAGCGAAAAACTGCTTCGTTCCTCAAACGCCAACAATAAATATATGCCGAAGAAGAAACCAAACTGTACTTCATTATAAAGAAAACAACAACGAAAATGCAAAAGGCTTAAACAAAGTTGACGACAACTGGTGTTATACAAACGTGCACCTCCGCAAAAATAAATATAAAAAAGAAAAAGAGACATCTAAAATCAATGCCAAGGAGGCGCCTCTCTGAAATGCGATGAAAATTCATGAAGGTACGACACGCCCGCCATCGCGCTATCTCATGCAAGCGATGGTATCGCGAGATCTATGTGCAACTTACGACATTGCTGCTGCAGTTAATCACGCCCGCTCGCTCGTTTCACGCTCTATTCGATGCGTCTTCGCGCTTTCTAGATGGCCACACGTTCGTTTCTTTTCGAAAGTCGAGTTATCGTTCGATCGGAATTATTTGCACTTATGTACATGCGAAAATGATGTGCGTTAAGCTGTGAGTAAGTAAATTGGAAACGTTTAATTACTTCAATTGCGAACGGCGAATTTTCGATTTCGGAAGCTCCTAATTACGAATAGAAGGTTACGGGGCTCAACTGCGTTGATCCCAAATGACAAGTTTGCAGCTTTACCGCCCGAAGAGCGATGGTTCTGCTGCATAATTTCGTTGATAGATGCGACTCGACGACAAATTTCAAACGTCTACAATTCGTTCCAATTGTTTTCGCGAATTGGCGTTTCATTAAAATTCAGCGCGTCAACTTTTCCGTGAACTACACCGCAAACGATACTTTTTTCTCTACCAAAAACTGCCAAGACAACGATCTCACAAGACGGTATATCGCAGAAGGTAAAAAAGCCTCTTGCCATGCCGTAAATTTTTCTGCAGAATAAGCCGCTATCGACAGCTGCTGCTTGGAAGTTGAAGAAAAATGTCGCTGATTTCGAACAGTGCCAAGTGAAGAAATTCCTAAGACTAGTGTGTTTCTTTCCAGGACAGAGAGAAGTCATTCCTCAGGTCTTATCTCGGGCCACTTCTCTTGTCTTCTCTATAGTGATGACAGCAGCGAACGAGTGCGAATGGAGTCTAACTCTCCACTTCGGTTTGTTTACTTTGGAGTAGGATAAATTGAGGAAAGCTGTTAGTGTTGACGGCGACGAGGGGAAGTTAAAGGTCACTTTCTCACTTCTCTCTCTCTCTCTCTCTCTCTAACGTACAGAGTGCTAAGGCTGGAAGAGCCTGGCTACCTGGTTGAATTTCTACTGAGTACAGGTCTAGATATATATCCGGGTAGGATGTAGCAGGCCAAGTTAAGAGTGGTTGATGCGAATTCTGGACGGTTCCCGAATCATTTCAGACAATGGGTACATGTTTCTGAAATTTTCTCCTCTAAGTCCTGAGACGTCTCCTATCACTAAACTTTTTCAAGAGGAGAAGCACGTCAGTACTTTTTTGAACGCGACGCGTAGAGTCTACTGGCGTTTCTGGAGCAATTGAACTTAATTGATCTTTAATAATAACAACTATTGTGGCTGCATTACTAGACTTAAATATTAATTATACAGACCCACACGCAAAAAAAGTCCTGTACATTTGACCAAATCTATCATTTTTTATGTTATTTTCGATACTGAATCCGAATCTACAATAAAAATATAGCCTTACCCTACAAAATTCAGCTTTTTTTAAGAAAAACTTCATTTTTTTCAATTGTTCCTTGATTTTTCAAAATTAAAAAATGAAGGAAGGTACTATAAATTTGATTTCAGAATTGAATTCCACGGTAAAAAAATACGTCGAAAACAACGTTTTTAATATTTTTATCAAACAGTTCTAAAACTTCATACAGCACTGAAAATATTAAAAATAAGATGAAATCAGAAATCATTCTAAATTTTACTGAAATGTTTAAAAAATTTTGTTATACAACTTTAAAACAGTTTGTAGACATTAAAATTACTATTCTAGGGGTTTTGAGGTCACTGATCATGAATTCGAAGTCTAATTTTGTAAAAGACAACACCCCGAGGGAGTTAGCGGGAAGTATACGTGGAAAAATTCATCGATTTTTAAAATTCAACGCTTTAAATACCACTTTGAAGTTATTCTACAACATGAATCATGAACGTAAGATTTACTTGGACTTTTAATTGTAAGACTTGAAATCGAGTAACATCGATAAATCCCGTTATAGTATTTTCAACTTATTTTACAAAAGTATCTCGTACTCTTAATGGTTTAGCGTAATTGAGTACCTAAATTCTTCTTAAATTTCTTAATTTATTTTGATGGAGAGGTGTTGGATACTAGAAGTAAATACTTTCTGCTTGTCTTTTTATCTCTTTTTGTTTACTGGAAAACATTCATAATTAGATTTTAATAATATTTATAGAAGATCTAGAAAATGAAAAGCTAAAAGTTAATTTTACGACAAATTAATGAGAAAAAGAAATGTTTTTTTCAAGTGACAACACATCCAATGAGGAGCCAAGTAAATCCAATGAGAATGATAGTACCCAAGGATAAAGAGAAAACTGTTAAATAATTTGACCAAAAAAGTTTGAACGATTTATTTAGAAAAACTGGTTTAACTAACGAACAATCTGAATTTATGGCTTCAGAATTAAAGAGGAAAAATTTGTTGAGAAAGGATATAAAAGTAGATGCATATCGTAATCGAAAGCAAAAGTTTCTTAAATATTTTACTAAAGATTCAGATCTAATTTAATGCATCGATGTAAAAGGACTTATTGATGACTTAAAACCGAATATGTACCAATCGGAGAATTGGCGACTATTCATTGATTCATCAAAGCGCAGCCTTAAAGTAGTAATTCTTCACAGTACAAATAAGTACGTTCCTATACCGTTAGCAGATTCAACTGTGCTCAAAGAAGAGTATTCAAATCTTAAGTTGGTTTTTTGACAAAAATAAAATATGAGGAACATTTGAACATTATGACTTGAACATTTTATCCATGATAGTAGGACAATAATCTGGATTTACAAAATATCCATGTTATTTTTGTATATTTGATAGTAGAGATAGAGCAAAGCACTACAAAAATAAAATTTGGTCATAACGGGAATCATTTGAACCTGGAAAACAGAATATTATAAAGGAGCCACTCGTTGATTCGTCCAAAATTTTGATACTTCCTCTTCGTATAAAGCTTGGATTGATGAAACAATTTGTGAAGGCTTTAGTGAAAGATGAACAATGCTTCGAGTATTTGGACAGAGCATGCCATAATAAAGCAGATGCTAAATTGAACGAAGGTATTTTTAATAAACCTGAAATCCGTACTTTATTTAGAGACGACAACTTTGACAAAATTATGAAAAATAATGAGAAAGCAGTATGGCCAAGTATTAAAGAAGTATCAACAACATTTTTAAATAACACAAAAGACGTAAATTACATAAATATTGTGAAAAGACTGGTTCATAATTTTGAAAAATTGGGCTGTTTAATGAACTTAAAGCTTCATTTCCTTGAACTTACATGTTGATCACTTTCCTAAGAATAATCAAGGAGATTCCTTTCCTAAGATCAAGGAGAAAGGTTTCACCAAGACATTAAAAGAATTTGAATGCAAATTTTAAGGACAGTAAGATGTAAATATGTTACGAGATTACTGTTAGATTGTGAAGAGAGAAGCGGCTGTAAGTCGAGGACAAAAGCGTTTCAGAAATCCTTTGCATCAGTCATTTGAAGAAAAATGTGTACGTAAGCGTAAAATAATTTTAAATATAAATGTGAAGATTTTCCAGTAAACAGAAAGAAATAAAGATACAAGCAGAAAGTATTTACTTCTAGTATCCAACACCTCACTATCAAAATAAATTAAGAAATTTAAGCTAGAATTTATGCACTCAATTACGCTAAACCATTAAGAGTACGAGATACTTTTGTAAAATAAGTTGAAATACTTTTGAAAATACTATAACGGGATTTATCGATGTTACTCGATTTCAAGTCTTACAATTAAAAGTCCAAGTAAATCTTAGGTTCATGATTCATGTTGTAGAATAACTTCAAAGTAGTATTTAAAGCGTTGAATTTTAAAAATCGATGAATTTTTCCACGTATACTTCTCGCTAACTCCCTCAGGGTGTTGTCTTTTATAAAATTAGACTTCGAATTCATGATCAGCGACCTCAAAACCCCTAGAATAGTATTTATAATGTCTATAAACTGTTTCAAAGTTGTATAACAAAATTTTTTAAATATTTCAATAAAATTTAAAATGATTTCTGATTTTATCTGATTTTTAATATTTTCAGTGCTGTATGAAGTTTTAGAACTGTTTGATAAAAATATTAAAAACGTTGTTTTCGACGTATTTTTTTACCGTGGAATTCAATTCTGAAATCAAATTTATAGTACCTTCCTTCATTTTTTAATTTTGAAAAACCAAGGAATAATTGAAAAAAAAAATGAAGTTTTTCTTAAAAAAAGCTGGATACATAAAAAATAATAGATTTGGTCAAATGTACAGGACTTTTTTTTTGTGTAGGCTTGTGTTATTTACAAAATATACTAGTCATGCTAAACTGGGATGTAGTGTTTAATCTGGACTACCTCTGAGAAATATTTGAACGTTTACCTTATGAAGTTTATGAGTGATTGAGATGATCTCTAGACTATGCTTTGTACTCCGTTGTGTTTTTCATTTTTTATTTATATCTTAGCTTACATTTCGACTTGTACTTAACCAAAGCCTTGAAAGTGCGAGCTTATAGCTTAAATATTTATATTCATGATCTGTGCAATCGTTTGTATTTTGTATTATGCCTTACGACAAATAAAAGAATATCTATCTGTCTATTTTCCGAATAGCGGATGTATCGATATTTGTAATATTTCTTTTTCTGGATCGTACATTTTTTCTCTCGATTCTATTGTACAATTATCTCCCTTTTCATAACAATGAATAACTAAAAGTTTTATAAAAACAATATTTTCTTTCGATAAATGATACTTGAGCAAAATTCTGCTACAAGCTATAAAATAAAACAAAAACACTTGGAAGTTTTGTAATTTGCGTGGGGAAACTAGAGCGCGTGCGCGTGCGAGTTTCTTGAAAGTGTATCGGCTTCGGAGTTTAAAACGAGATGCTTTGTAAGCCCTATTGTAAATATGATAATATCTCAGATTAGTTGACTTTCGCGAAAGCAAATAAAAATACCGTTATCAAAATCAAAAGCAACGCTTCACAATGATTACTATAAAAAGTAGGTATACAAAATTGATGAACTCACCCGGCTTTCCCGCTGCTTTCCATCTTGTTAGCAAGCTCGACGTCCTTGCTATAGACATCGAACTGCCACTGCCGTTGACCAAGAACTCCGGCAAGCACAGCGCCTGTATGTATGCCGACTCGCATGTCGACCGGACTATTGGTTGTCTCCCGGACGTACTTGATCGCATTGACCATCGACAGACCCATGCGAATGCAAAGTACCGCGTGATCTGGACGCTCTTGTGGCGCTCCGCTAATGCAATAGTAACAGTCACCCAGGATTTTTATTCGCAGCTGCTCGTATCTGTAACCCAATAAAATCTATTCTTAAGCTTCTAAACTTGAATAAGTTACAATATATGCGTTAAACTTTTCATTTCCAAGGAATGAATTTAAAGGGAGAACATTGAAAAAAACAATTTTCATCTAAACACTTTTAATGTAATCAATGCTGGAAATATTAATCGTAGATAAAAGTAGTATCTATAAATTTTTATGACTATGGTTACATACAATATAATTATAATAATTAATAAATAGAAACATTTTTTTCTAAATATGAAACTCACATTGAAACACACAAGAAAAGATTGTTCCGTAATTATAAAAAAATGTTTTCAAACACGCAACCATTTCCTAAAGAATATATTTTATTCCCTTATTTTTCTTTATAAAAAAAATGAAGGATGACATGTTGAAACGTTTTATTTATGATACGATTCGCTGAGATCTCGTCACGCGATATACACTGTTTTGTGACGGCAAATAAACGTATATGTATGATTTCGAGTTGAGATTTTAGTAATGAAAATTCAATTTATCATAATCGATAAGGGTCATTTTGAAGATAACGAAAGAAAAAAAATAAGCTGCACTATTATTATTCTAAAGCTCATTTTATAAAACTAGCAGCGAGTAAAGCGTTTCGTAAAAACTAAAGGTTATACTTTGAAATTGCTCTAATTATTTCTTTATTACTAATCAATAATCTGGTTTTTGAAGGTGTTAGATAAAAATAAATGTTATAATATCACAATCTTTATGCAAAGAGTAGAATAAAAATATTTAATAATAATTTGATCCGTGTAGTTGAAAAAAAAATTATTTATTGCAGTTTTCGATATGATAAATTATGAATTTGGAAACGTGGAACTGATTTTTATCAATATAGATTTTTTCCTTGTGATATGTGTTTTGTAAAAAAAATTGAAAAATCCACCTTTGAAAAAAGTATTTGTATTAATAATGTTAATCAATATAATAAAAAATGAAAAAGAATATAAGAGCATGATTGATAAAATAAAAGTGCACCATAGGATAATTTCAATGTTTTTCTAATTTTTTAATAAGAATCCCTAATTAATTATTTGTCACACTATAATATTTAAAATATTTATTAGGCTTTTGTCTGACCCGTATTTTCACTGCCAACAATGATATTATAAAATCAGTACAATTTTATATGTTGTTCGAGCTTTCAAAAACAGAATAAAAATTGGTAGAAAAAATAGATTCATATTGTATAATTAGGACTCAGTAGTTTACCGCGATTGTGAAAGGCAATACCGCATGTTGATTCAACAAATATCGAGTCGATCAAGCACACAGTAAACAAGTATTAGGTCCATATGTGATACTGTCTAAAAGCAACGTTCAATCAATTTTTTTCTTCCGACACATATAATATACGAACATTCGGGTTCATTGTATCGTACTTGTATCTCACTGACGACACAACAGTAGGATGAAATTAACAACTGTAACGAAATCAAAAAAGTCAATCGATCATACAACAACAGCAAATCTTTCTCGTTTCATTAATGACGCTGTATTGTCGATGTCACTCGGAATTATCACCATTCAGGCATCACGGCAAACAAATCAATTGGACTGACTACATTTATCGACAAAAGCAAATCCGTCTTTGGCGTAAAAAAAAGGACAATTTATCAGTCCCACGCGGCACACGCACGCGCATTCATCTCTTGCCGCGCGAACGGACAAAAAATAAATTCTCTTTTCGGCGAACTTACATATCGAATGATAAACGACCTGCGTATACAGATATCTGGAGAGTACGTAACGGATGTTAATGCACGAGCGCGCGCGATAGATATATAAGAAAGTAGGCTACGGTCACACCAACCACCAGCTTTTACCCTCTTAGGCAGTTCTCTTTTTTTCCTCCTGCGGCGCGCCTATACGATCGATCCACGTACCCCCTTAAAACTTAATGTCGCCGATCAAACGCACGTTCTATACGTACATAGTTTCTACCGAGGCTCTTTTCAAATCCGATAAACTGCTACTCATCCGATTTCATTTTCGGAGATTTTTTTTTTTCGAAAAATTATTCAGACGGAATTGAAATATTTCTACTGCCACGTACATTATTCTAAATAAAGATTTCAGAAATCAAGTGAATTAGAATACTTGACTCATTTTATTCGAGTCAATACAATTTGATATGATTTTATTTTTACTAGCAATCAAATCTTAACGAGATAGAGCGAAATAGCGCTTCACGCTTCGTTTGACCTCCGTTAATTACGATATCAATAGGAAAAGGTAAGATTAATTTTCAGAACAAGTGAAAATTCTCTGAAAAAATAATCAAACAAATGATATCAGGTTGAAATACAATAGCGACCAAGTACCTCGAATCTCTACGTAACAGTCGAGCGCGATGTTCGCGTGCACTTGGGCGCCTTACTCAAACTCCTTTATAGTGGAAAATTTGCCGCGGAGAAAGAGCTTTTTGGAACATACTCGTAGCGTGTTTGAAGAGCCTTCGCGCAAACGTCGCCTAATTCCCAAGCGCGCAGCGGTGGCCGTATACCGTCAACTCTTGACCGACAAAGGAGATGAAGAGCCTCCGCAATTTGCGTCCGAGTTGCGGTCACATTTGTGATTTTAGCACTTGAGCGCATATATCCTTTGAATCGTCGGCCATAGCACGACTTTAATTTTAATTATTTCGTTTACATGAATGATAGTGTATCCGTACGTTTCGCTATCTGGGTGTGCGAACTTTCGACGCGATTAGAATAAGGCGTTGCTTGTTCCACAGTTATATAAAATTGCCTAAATTTTATTTATATTAGCGTGGCTTAATGGGGAGTTTGTCTAAGCATACGTAAAAAAGGGTGAAGTAAAACACGTGTTCCGATGCATAAAGAATACCAGGCATGAATATTTTCGAAGAAAGTAGTGCAGGGCACGTCGTTGACAATCTACGGTGAGATTTCAACGTTACGGCAAACCGCATCCGAGCGCGAGAATTCAGCCAAGCGCCATTTGGTCGACAAACCACTATACGCGTAAAATTTTCCGTCGAACGCGAAAAATTCGCATTCGAAATGGAAGTAAGCAGCACGAGTGTAATCGGCATCAATCGTCTCGCTGCACGTAGCCTTGCCCGTTGGCAAGGCGTAGGCGACAGCAAACTTATACGTCCGAGAGTCTCATTGAGTAATCACAAATCGATAAGCATTTTCCGCGTCGCGCGCCCGCGTCAACACGCTCGATATTTACAGTCGGTCTCTGAAGGGACTGTACAAGTCCGATGACGCAAGCGATGCAGGGCAGCGATCGATCAGCGAGAGAGTGAGAGAAAGAGAGAGAAAAAACGGTAAAATATAGATCTCAATGGTGCGGTGAATGGTTGATGCTCGCATGCTAATCAATCGCTCGCGGGTATTTTTAGAAAGAGTTGGTTGTGCGCGATAAACGAGAACACGCGCCGTGGAGTATTGATCTCTTCGAGGGAGAATCGTCAAATTTCATTGTGACTCTTGAATAGCTTTGCGCCGTTCGAATAACTTTAGGTTCGCTGCCAATGGACAATCTTCGCCGTGCGTTGAGCGACAATCACTTCAAGTTCTCGTATTGACGTTTGATACGCGTGCCAGATACGACTACCGCAGTTTTAATAAATTTAGAAATGCTGATAATATTCGTGTGAAGTCCATGCAAATCGGAGTTTAAAATGCCTTGACCCTCTTTAGGTTATCTATAGGGGGAAGGGAGGGAATCTGGAAAGATTAAGTTGAGTGGAATTCATCATAACACACACGAGACATGCCCTTTCCTACACTGTACGTACAGCTAAATATAGATTGCTTTTATCACGTGTGGCAACGGCACATAGGCTTAAGCCCAAAAATGTCCCTTCTTCCCTTCATATTTCACACTCACGTCTCAACCATTTACTTTTTTTATCTCTTGTTATCGTAATACCTTGCTGTGCTGTTCTAAAAATGGATTTTTACAATTTACTGGATCTATTGTTTGATTAAAATACCATTTACGTTAGAGATCGATTTGAAAGAAAACCATTTTTTAATCGATAGGAAGTTTCCGCAATCACACAACTTTTATGGAATCTAATCAACGTAATAAAAATGTGTACAGGATATTTTTCGATATCGTTTGTAATACTTTTTCACCCTTTTGATTTAATCCGTGTTTGAAATACAATAATTAGTATTGAGATTTTATTTAAAAATTTGTTTGAAAATTTATGATTCGGACTTTATCTTTATCATCGTTCACAAGAATAACATACGTATATACTTTATATAAATCAGTGACTAATTTAATACAAACTCAATCGAAATAGCCCGCATTATTATTAAATCAAAGTTTAGTAAATTGGCTGAAGATTTATCGTAGTAATAAAGTAAATACTTGGTAAGCTAATAATAACCTAATGGAAAAAGTTTTCGCAGCCAGCCGCCTCGAGCTGTATTTACCTTTCCGAAAGCTTATCGAACCTAGCGAACAATTCATTGAGAATCTTGACGAGTTCACTAGCTGAATAAGTCGAGGATATCGCGGTAAAGCCAACGATGTCCGCGTAGAGTATAGACACGTTCTCGTGTCGAGACATGTAGATCTTCTTGAACTGAGTGTCGAGGGAGGCGCCAAGATCTTGGCGCATCTTGACCGCGACGTGCTCGGGCAATACGCTGAGCAGCAAACGCTCCTGCTCGGCGCTTTGCTCTTCAATCACCAGCTGCACCTCCAGGCTCTGCTTCGTCTCCAGGAAGGCTCGGCGCTGCTGGAACTCGGCCAGCGAGTACGAAGCCGCGCCGAGGATCGCCGCGCACAGCGATAGCGTTGCCGTCAGGATCTGCAACGACAAACGCATCCCCTCGCTTAGTTTTCAATTCCGAGTAGCCGAATATGAATTCAATGATAAATCGATAGCGCGCCCGTATAATAGTCTTTTTATCCGCGAGACACAAGTCCTAGCGAGCAATTACATCAAGAATTTGCTGGGGAAATATCGCCTCGGAGGGTCCACGGCTATTACGAAAATCAATAAATTGTACGCTAAAGCAATACGCAAACCTACTGCTTTTATAGATTTTATATTAGGATCGGCATATTGCCGAGTAGGTACGAGTACTTCTAACAAAACGATGAACGTCAAATACAATTAATGCGTATTTCAACACGGAGTTTGTTTCTCTTGTCTGCGTGTCATTTCTATTATCTAAAACGCAAAATAAAGTTTTCTAAGCCAGATAGCAACATTATAAGTGTTCCATATGTTCCATCGCATAACCGTATTTCATAAGTTTACCAGCGCTGAATCATATCCGTGCATTTCTATATACCGCGATGGACGGATATACGACAAGCGTACGGATAACTGAAATTTCATGCGCCGAGCGCGCACTCGAGAGTCGCGGTGAATTACCTTCTAAAATCAGCGTCGCGAAAGAGTGGATATTAATATCGCGATATTGAAATTTTGACAACAAAAGAGAGAGAGAGAGAGAGAGAGAGAGACGCGTGCGTGTGTGTGTGTTCCGAAACATTGGCTAATTAAGTTGGCGTCGAAAGCACACGGAATATATGCATATATCGAATTTCAAATTTGGTTAAAAATATCACGATGACGACCCACTTACGCACTTACAGAGTGAATTTATACTTTTTATAAATTTATAATTTATACTTGCAAATGTGTTTAAAATGGCATAATTTTTATTTGCGAATGGCAGTTAAAAGTGCGCTCGATTATATTGTTTCAAGGGTGGTGTACTCAAACTCAATTAAAATCCCATGAAAAAATAATGAAAACAATTATTGAATTAATTCAGATATATTTTCTATTTATTCAGTCGCTCATTGGATTCTTCAGACACATTTTCTTGCTGAAAAATTATCACCAAACAATTTCCATTTGATAAATATTCTTGATCACAGTTTTCTTCATTCAAAAGGCATGACAAAATAAAAAAAAAACGCGCTCGCAAATCAATGGCTAGCTTCGAACATTGCGATGATTCCTACGGAACACAGCAATCGATAAGCATTCCCGGCAAGTTAGTCAGCTCCCATACAAACCGCACGAAGGCAAATTAATATTTTCACGGAGACAGAGAAGCTCATCGTGCGTTCATCATATAGCATCACACTCAAGGGGAAAGTGTAATTACGATGTCTCTCGCGGCGCCAATGCGTTACTGCGACAATTAAGATTCAATCTCGAAGCACCGCGACGGCATTGTCAACGTTACGTCGTTATCGCGTCTTCTTTTATCTTGCTCGGCGTGTTTGCGAGATAAGCGTCATATTGACCCATCGTCTCTCGCTTGGCTTTTGTCGCAGACACATTGAATTTATAATGATGGCACGATCAGCGTGGGGTATAATTAGCCGTGGCGAGCATGAAAATACAAAAGCGTTACGATACGTTCAATCCGCGAGTTATATGTCGCGCGCGAAAGAGCCGAGTGGGAGCTGCCACTGTTACGATACAATGTGACGATGCTTTTGTGCAGCTGACGACAATCGCGTCGTCACCCTGCGGCTAAGCTGATTAGCGCCATGACGACGAAGTTTAATTAATTTTTGCTTTTTTGGCAAGAAAGAGATGAATTTAAATTTAAAAACTTAACTGTAGTGTTCTTTTATATTTTGTGCCTTCTACGTCTAACTCTTCGTCTTGCCAAGCTCTCCCTTCGGATGAAAATCAGTTAATGTCAAATATCTGAGCGCTCAATATCTGATTCATTTGACTCACTCACCGTTCATTCATTCACGTTTCATTGATGTACTAAAATTATTGACTCAACTATACATTGCAGAATTTTTTTTTCTTAATATACCAGCTCAATGTTTCCGTTTCGTATACAGTCATGAATATCGATACTGTTATTCTACTTGGAAACTCTCAGATCGAACTCTCAGACAGCTTCCAAGTTAAGATTATTGTTAGCTGGAATCCAAGAATAGAATGCGAACAAATAAATTTACAATTCCCATCAGAACTTGTGTCTTTGACGTTTCAATCTGTGAAGCATCTGTCAACGCCTCTAACTTTCCGTACTAAAATTACTACTGGAATGATTTCGCTTCCGTAGTTATAAAACCGTACGTCTATTATCAAAAAATACGATTGGAGAACTCAACTCAAGAACTTTGTTTTAACTGCATATGAACATCCGCTGACGCGACTGCACTATAATTTGGTTCAACTTGCAAAACTGTTAATTCGACAACACGCAATTTGTAAACATAAATGTACGGAAATTTATTTGACTAAGGCGACAACTCAACAATACGTTCATTGACACAAAGTGTACATTCCGGGAGTAACAAAATTAATTGAATATTGAAATAATAGAAAACGTTAATTTCAACAAACGAATGTAGTGTTACTTTGATAAAAAAATATACATTGACATTAGTAGTAATATGATATATATATTAGGAATATAGAAAATAAATTATATTTATTTCATGAATACGCGGTGCAATCCACGGCTAACGATGATTAAAATAATGCTCTTATGAAATATCAAGCTAAATTACGTATATATGATATTTAATGAAATATCCAAGCTATTCATGCCAAGCGTTTCAGCGTGATTTTCAAACTTTCCTATTTTATTCTCTACAGGTTGCGAATATTTGCTTCAGGAAATTTTTATAAAACTATATTATGCAAATAAAATAGTTTTATAAGATTTAGAAGAAAAATCAGAAGAAACATGAAGCTTATTTCGGATACGAAATTTTTCACACAGGAACTTGTGCAAAAAAAAAGATGAAAATACCTTACAAAGCATCGCCATCATTATATAGTAACTTTTATTTGCCAATAAATAAGGATGGATATGTGTATGTGTGTGTGTGTGTGTGTGTATGGAGCAGTGATGCAGAAGTAGATCATGTACATATAGTAGTATCGCGAGTTCGTTGTTTTACCTTCAGCCGTCTCGACTCTTTATTTTAGTATCTGACCATTGACTGGACTTTCTGTCTACTCGAGCGTAACACGTGCATCGCAACTCGGCGCATTGTTGCGGCTCAAAGCCAGTCACACACATACACTCACACACACACACACACACACACACACGTTGACTGACTTCGCCCGGCGAGTTCAAGAGTTACCTCGAGGGTTTCATGATCTCGCTTTGTCATTAAAATTTTTCAACTTGCCGCATCAAAGGCCGTCGTCCTTCATCAAAGATATAATATGTTATCGTTATTTTTGCCTTAATCCTTGTCATTTCATGGCAAACGGACTGTCGGTCATTAACTTTCCGAGCGAATGAAAAAATCAGAAAAAGTTCAACTGTAAGGTCGTTCGACAATTGGCCGCTTCGCTATCAAATATTTGAATCTTCATAGGATATGTTGATTCGAAATCAATATAAAATTGTTCATTAGCGTCACGCAATATACTTTTCTCTTTCGCTGCTTAAAAATGCAATAAGTTTAGGCTGCTGACGGCTCGATCGTACATCGTCTATATAGATTTCAATCCAAAACCATTTCGTACTTAACGTATTCAAATGAAGTAGCCGTTCTTCAAGTCAACTTAATTTTTCACGATTATCAGATTGATACGTGTCAGTCACTGTTGGTGAAAGTTGTTCTCGTCATAACGATTTAGATAAAATAGGACAAAAAATTTTAGTACAGACCGTCTCAAGCTTTGTTCACGACTACAGCAGCAGTGCGGCTAATACGTCATCAAACATACAACAGCTACACCTCTAATTAGCAAACTACCGTAAACTCCTCTTCGCTTTCATGTACAAGAACTATAAAAACCAATTTTCTGATGCGTCAATAACGTATCTCGCCTTTTTTACAGGATCACGCGAATATTCAAAAAAAGCGCGCCCCTATAAAGGAACAGGCAACAATAACACAAAAGCAGCTAGCCTATCGCGAGGACTGTTGAGAGAAAGAAAAAAAAGCTCTCTTGTTTGATCGAGCTCGACGCGCGAAAATAGGGTGTCGCTAAAAAGGCCTCATCTCTCGCGAGCACAGCGGCAGCCTTATCGGCGGTAGTAGTGGTGGCGCGCGCGCGCGCGAGGGCTGCAAATTGCAAGTTTTCAAGGTCGTCGGAATAAGGCCGCACTGTAAGATATCACGCCCCACGCGCAAGCGTGGCCGATGTAAATGTAAATGCAGCCACTCTCTCTCTCTCTCTGCTCCTCTATCTATCTCATCCTTTCTTGTGTGCGTGCGTGTGTTGGAGTTTTTTTACACAATTTGCATGCGATAAATTGCCAACCCTCAACGGCTTGCACACGCCACCCTTTTTTCCCCGTTAAAGGTTTATTTGTTTTCAGCGTAGATATTTATTGGATTTGCGCGAATAATTGCCGATTTATTATAAAAGATGAAACCTCCATTGACATGTTTTACGATCTAATAAGTACGAAACACGTGCAATTTGCTATAACTTTTTTATATTTCTCTAGCACTAGACTGAAAAATGAATTTGACGTGAAATATTGAGAAAGAGCTTTGAAAAAAAATGATAAACTGACTAGTGGCCACCGTGACGTGACTCATAATCAAGAAGTTGAACAACAATTTCAATTTTTCGCAAAATGTTGTTTTGTAAAATCAATCCCACGTTCCTAGAGCTCTATATAGTCGTGTCCTGTTTATTTTTCGTTCGAAGTTTAACCCCCTCCCCCCTCCCCTCTCTTTCAAGCGCGAAACAAAGGGCGTTTGTGTAATTTGCATGCAGCGCAACGGCTCGACGTATAAGTTTAAAAATTGCGAAAGCTCTCTCCGGCGCATTCGAGTAATACAGGCTGTCGAAGCTTCGCTGCGGGTACGCTCGGAAAGTATCGGGCGCGAGAGCGAGCAACGAGGGATATAAAAGCCGAGCAGGCAAACTTTCGCGCAAATGAAGTAAGACACTCGAGCGCGCGGGCGGGATGTATTGAGATTAACGTCGGTTCTCGCACGAGGATAAACACGGCAGCGCCTCCGCATACTCAAAACGCTTTCTGGCAGTTTGTTTTCCGCGGAGCAAGCCACTTGGTTATCATAATTTATTCGGCGCGCGTTCGCGCGCGAGAAGCCAACGATGACGATGATCTATAACGGAAAGTTGCAGAAGAGAGGAAATGGACGGATCCCATTATGCTCCCACGTTAGCTGGCAAAAGAATAGCATTTAACGAGCGAAACTGCGGGACAGATTCGGGCGAGAACAAAAGCCATTTGGCGCGAATCAAGCGCCCATTCAGAAAACCACGAATCGCACGGAAATGGCCATGATCTCGCAACAACGACAGCTGCACTTCGGCTGGCCCGCGCGTCAATTGCTCGTACAAATAGACGCGAGCTCTCGCGAAGGTGGCGCGCGGTAATCGATCACGGAGGTGATGCGAGTCGTTCGGCATTAGCGAACGAACGCCGAGGCATTAACCGCGCCGCTGTAATTGTTAGTCGGCTCGCCTTGACCTTGCGAGCAGCCAGTCCCGCGAGAGCGAGCAGATACAGCTGGCATACTCACGAGCACTTCGGGATTGGTAGGTACATCCTCCCTGGAGAGCCAGGTGACCGACAGCATGTAAAGCGCGGCGGTGCCAACGGCAAGCAGAGCGCACAGCGAGAATCTGAGGGGCAGAGTGGCAAAGTGCAGATAGAGCAGCACTAGGAGCCAGCCAAGGCTGTCTCGGGGCGTGACCTCGGCGGACTTGAGGAACAGCTGGGCGAGAAGCTGCAGGATGGCTATATGCCAGGCCAGGTGCGGCACCAGCTCCCACAGGCCGGCCCTCGCCCTTGCTCCCCTTTCCGCCCAGGCCAGCAGGCCCAGATTCAGTCCCAGAAACACGGTCGTCAGTCCTCGCGTGTGCAGCTCGCCGTCGGGCAGCGCCAGACTGTAAAAGTCGTACAACACCGCGGTCACCAGGAAGCATTGCAGGCCGCCGCGGCGCTGCTGCAGGGACGACGAGCGGTACAGCTGCTCTAGCTTGCTGGACGAGAACGAGGTCTTCAGCAGATTCGACGGCCGGCCGCTGTTCAGGTACGACTCCTCGTTGGAGGTCTCGCCAGCCCCGCGGCCGCCAGCGCCGGTCGTCCCCCGGTGGCTCAGCGACATCCCGAGCACCTTGCCTCGCTGCTCATAGCACTGTCCCTAGTCCATCGCCCCCGGCACTCGTCGTCGTCGTCGTCGTCGTCGTCGTCGTCGTCGTCGTCGTCGTTGTCGTCGCTGATCGTCAGCTCTCGCGCACTCGGTTTGCCTCCGCAGCGGTGACAGTGAGCACGCAGCGCCCGCGCGCGGGGGACTGGCCGGGTTATGCTCTGCCTGTAGACCGCCAACGCTGCGGCCGATCACAGCGCCTCGGCAGCAGCGCCAGTCGAAGCGCACGCTTGCGCAGCGAGCCAGCGAGGATCTATATCGCTGTGCGCGCCTTATACCTATACGTCGGCCTCTCTCACCCACCCTCCCCGTTTGCGGCCCGCGGGTCGATACTCACACCAGCCGCACGCGCGCAGCCCGCGTTCACCTCTCTGCCTCCAGCTTTATTCGCCCGCCTGCTCTCTTCTTTTGCACGGCGATGATCTTCGATGACCATCGAATCTCTCCAGATGACACAACCTGCCCGTTTCCTCAGCGCGACACCTTGGATCTGTAACGAATTAATCGCTCCTCCGTATTGTCGCGGTTGGCCATTGCGCAATCCAGACGTTATTACCTATCTTGTCAACGACATGCCGCGTTGCTGTAGCCTGGAAGATCACTGTAATCATAATTCATCGCAAGCAAAATAGCCGCCTCAAGTCGATTGGCGCTCGCAGTCACGCGACAATCGAAGAGCCAAGTGAAAGTTGTGTTCTCTAAAAATATACTAGGCAATTCTTCTTCTTCCCAAACGAATGAATATTTTAGACGCTCGCCAAGCAGTTCTCTCTCCCTCTCTCTTCCCGATGTATACATCACACTGAGTTTCCAAATAAAGCCGTGCCGCTCACTCTTTCAAATCAATCTTTTACTTTCTCCCTTTCAAAGTTCAAATTCATTTCGACTTGGTTGCAATGGCCCTGCGCTACCCTCGGCAATCAGTCACTTTACTCGCGACGCCTTTGCCGCGCTGAAAGATTAATTTGTCATAAACAAGCTGCTCTTTAAAAAAGAAGACCAAAACAAAGCAACTTTATTATCAGCATGCTGCATACTTGTTGAAATATATATCAGTTTTGAGCTTTAAGCTTTCACGCGGCTTACAAAAAGGAAGCTCTCGTACGTAAAGGTACACGATCTTGATTTCTCAATGTTATCCCGCCTTCTGCTATCTTTACAACGGTATCCCTCGCAATAATATGTAAACCACTGCTTATTCTATATATTAATGACGGTAATGTCAAGTTTTAACGTTTCCAATGCGCTAAAATAAATGAAAACTTAACAGCCACAAATCACTTCGCGGTGTCATTACCCTCAAAGTGCATGCAACATAGTAAATATAAGGGAAATTATAAATTACAGTCGAAGCAGTTTAATCTAGCGTTGGAAAGGTCGTTCAGCCCCCTATCATGTCTGATCATGCGAGGATCTACTCCACTTGCGGGACTTTTAGGTAGGGACGATGAGAAAAAAAAACGCATACACATACGCAGATGCGAGAATCGAGGTAAATTGAACTGCAACGTCTTATTTCGAGTCTTGAGCGCTTGACGGGAATATATGGAATCCGACGTTACCTCAGTGGCGCGCAATATCGATATCACTCTTAGGTAACGCTCAGGGCGATTCAGTTATTTCGAATGGTTGAATTATAAGGGACAAATGTCTAGTCGCTAGGAAAAACTAAGAGAGATATTCTTTTGTATTTTCTCGACAGAGGAAAGGGAATACGAGATTGTCTTGTGCACATATAGACACTGCTTTTTTTTATACAAGGAATATGTATTTTTCAGCATTTCTTTTTCATTTTTTATATTACTCTTCCTGTTTGTGTTTTACGATTTGTAGATCCTGTTACATTTTTATATAGCACGTATTTTCTTCTCTACGCTGTATGCGAAACAATACAGCGCATACAAAAGATAACGAACTATATATTTTACGTTGCAAGAAACGAGAATCTAATATCTACTTTGTTAAAGTTTTCTAAGTGGTTACAATTTACAAGTGTGGCATCCGAAAAAATGCAGAAAAACTTTGTTTTGCAGATATACGTTAAGATAAAAGTTCGAAGGGAGAGAAAACAAAAGCAGCTTTCATACGTGCGAAATGTTTCTATAGCGTAAAGTGTACAGAGGCGGAGAAAAGTGCAAGTTCAGAGAAAGAGAGGGTGAAGAGACAAAAAAGCTGTACGCGGCTTGAAACCACATTCAAAATTAAAGGCAAAAAGGTACGTTAGAAATTGAAGATATTTCCAGCAACCGCACAGAAGCTATGCTCTATCTTACATCTACGTGCTACAGCTGGAAAGCACGTGGGCTGCCGCCTCTTTTCTCTCTTTCTTTCTTTTTCCTGTCCGCGCCCTTCTTCCGACTTTTCAACTCGCTTGCTGGGGCACTTTTTTATTTTCTCTTCTAGCTATTCATTCTGATACTTGTCTTGCTAAACCTAACGATGATTTTTTTTCCCTCGCCCCTTGAAATATTCAATTGTTCAATCGATGAAACGTATTTTACTTGGATAGAACGCTATCTAAAATGTTCATAGAAGATTTTATTATTCTAGCTACATACTTAATTCAAAATGTACTTATCATTTATTTAATTAATTAACATATCACGGATATAAAAATGTGTAGATAGTCAAAATTTGTCAATCACTCTAAAAACAAAAAAAAGATTCTAATACAGGATGATTTATCGTTTCGAGAACCGTCCGCAATCGAGACTTTTCATTGACAAATGGTGAAAATCGAACAATATAAAAAAGCTATCACGCAAGATAAAGTACAGCCGGGCTATCAGGGAGCAACGCAATATCAGGGGACGTTTTTCTTTTTGTTTTTGTTTTTTTTTTGTTTTGCTTTTTTTCGAAAGAATCATATGTCCGCTAATCAACAGACAGCTATTTTTTCACGTAGCCAGTCCGACGCGATTTATTTTTTGGTGCGTGCGTACGTGCGAGGTATGTTTGCTCCGCAACGTAAAAATCGATCGGTTGCCTAAGGGAACGAAATTTTTTCTTCCTCTCTCTCGCTTTCTTTCTCTCTTTTTGTCTACACAAACAAATAGCTTCGCTTATAATCGAACTTACAAAGCTCTGTGTGTATCCTCGTTCAATTGGGGCTTACTAATTGCGCGCTCTCGAGTTTCTTTTTATTCTGCTGAGGACAAAAATAGAACTGCCCTGCGGATGACGACTACTGCTACACTTGATAGTCCTTTTTGATACGGATGATATACAAGTTTAATACGAGAATCGTTGGTGCTTAATTAGAACCTATTATCGCGACGGAAGTTCATGCATTCGTATGGGCTGCTATATTCCAATTTTTAACCGGTACGAATTCCACTTTATAACAGTATTTTTTCATTGCATGCAAAATTGAATGTCATATTTCAACTAATTCTGTAACATCGGATCTAAAGCTATTTCAACACACTAACAAATACAATGGGTTAAAGCTCAAAGATCATTCCACTTATACGTTTCTATCTCATCGTTATAATCTCATTACAAAAGCCACTGCTTCTATCAAGGATAAAAGAGTTCCTTAAAGCCGCCGCCGTGTTATCGACATCCATTGTAAATGGGCCGCGGGCGCTGGCTTGGGCTACACGCCGGGAGAGAACTTTAAACGCTGACAAGCTCAACTCAATCTCGAGTAGCAGCAGCGGCAGCAGCAGCAGTGTCGCTTTCGTACAGCAGCCAACTCTTTATTATATTCACAAACTGAGAACCGCGTTTTTCCTCTTCCGTTTCATTGCCAATTTATTCTCCGTCGTAGCTCTAATCCGCGAAGCTTCATAAATTTTATTTTTTTCCTCGATTAGAATGGAGGTCGACAATTGATAAATAAATACAACAGAAAAGGAGATAAAGAGAAAAAAAGTTTCATGATCAAACGGTATGCATGTTTTTTTATATCACGCAACGAAGAAAACAGAGAAAGTAATCAATTGAAGTAAATTGAAGAGGGAAACGAAGCAATAGGAAGTATACTTAGGTGGGAGTTCGACAAGTGTCCCAATAAATGTACTCGATGCGCATAGATTCAGTTGGGTTTGCCGTCGTTCGTGCCACGTTGCAGCTGGCCCTATTTCATGCTCGTCTGACGAAACGTTTTCCGATAGTCAATTATCATTCGGGATAAATTGCTCCCCCCTCTCTCTCTTTCTCTTTCTACTCATTTTATTCGTTCGTATTTTTTTACTTTTTTTAAGGCACATTTCTTTTCTTTAACATATATGTGTCTCTGTGTATATGCAAATGATCCACCGCACGAATTTTACATGCGCTTTCATGTTTTGCTAAATGACATTTGGTATTTATGGCTTTTGCTTGTTTCAAAGCGTAATCGGATTTTCGGATTATACATTTTTGTACACTCTCTAGAGAAAAGTTGTGGCAAGATTATTTTATTTTACAAAAAGTTTGCTTTTATACCATTGAAAAAAGTAAATGATTCGCGTACATGAAAAAATTAAAAAATATTTACCATTTTTTTCACGTTTATTATTGTCTGTCTTACAAAACCACAGTACAGTTAAGCTCATTGATACAGGTTTAAGCTTTACTTGGTGAAACGAAAACGGTAATCTGTTGTCTTAAAACTGTTTATGTTTTTTGACTGCGAATAGACAAATTAAATTTTTTTAAACCTTGTAATAGTCTGCTATTTTGGACGGAATATTGCAGTGTGAAACCAATTTTAAATAATAAAAATTACGTTAATTTCGCTGTTTTTTAGACTAGAACTCATTATTTATTCTTTTAATTATAGTTGATCTATTCAATCATTGAAGGTACGAAACTATGATTTTAGCTGTTATAAAAAATACGTTTATTAAGTGTAATTATATAGATGACTTATTTTCATTAAAAAAGCTATCGTTCTCTTTATAATTTGTTCATAGAAAAAAAAATAACTTGACATGTTCCTAATCGTAGCCAGTATCGTTATAGAAGAAAACTCTCCTCTCTCTACTGAGTAAAAAAACTGTATCACACACTTGACAGATAATATAAAAATAAAAGAAGAGTCTACGCTAGAAAAGCTATTACGTTCGCGTGTACAACACCATATTTTTGACGGTAATCAACGTTGAAATTTAATCTCCCGGAAAGACTAAAAGTCAAAGTGAGCATACATAATTCCAATCAAACTTTCACTATTTCCGAGGCGGCACACGCATTTAAATGAGAAAATTATTGAGCTTATGTAACTCTAGTCATCAGCGTCATCCTTGGCGCAAAATTCATCGGGAATAATGTATCCGAGACCTTTCATTTCTTTGACCACGCGACGATCCTTGCCGAGTGCGTCGATCCACCTGTAGTAAGGCAACTCATCTCGTGTACCTCCGTACTTCTTGGGCAGATAATCAGGTGGCAAGTGCCTGTGCAAACTTTCCATATCCGAGCCGTGGAAGAAGATTTTGGAGTTCATTTTGGAGTCGATTAGTGGCTTGAACACAGCAAACATCGTGTCGAAGATCCATGATTGATTAAGTATATGAATTGCGTGGGTAGTTATTGGGAAAGCCGTCACTATCAGAGCAAATACCATACTTGCGACCTACATCAATTAAAACCAAACTTCATTATGAGTCATTCATTTCTCGTTTAATTTGTTTTCAATAAACTTGTGAAGTCATATTCGCAAGTTTTTATTAAAAAAAACTAAATCATTGATTAGTTCCTCAAGTACAGAAAATATAATTTTCAGCAGATAATCTTATTGAAAATTCTTAACAAAAACCAACCTGAGGTGTTATCGTCCATGCATGTGCCATGCTGATACCCTCGAAGTCAAAGATAACAATGCCCCCGAGGATCTGCGCCATAGGCTCGAGCAGTCCCAGCTCGAGTATAAGGACTGTGGCTTTGAATATCTCGTCGACGGAATATTTACGAGGGTCCCAATTGCCGATGCGATAGATCATTAAGCGGCGACCACAGGGTGCACGATATGCTGGCACGGTCATTACGTCGTCATCGCCGATGTGCCTCATCTCTAATGGGTTGACGTTCACGTGAATCTCTGGATGCTCATCTTTGAATGCGTAGTAACGGACGATCTGCAACGTAGGAACAATGTTAAATTTTGAATTGCTTTAAGGTAAGGTAAGAAGCGTAAAAATTTGATTTACGCATTTGTCAGTCCTATTATTGTGTTTTACAGGTTGTATTATTGAAATAGTCATGTGGAGGTTTTGAAATCAATTAACATCTAAGAAAAATTATAATTGAAAGATTTACTAAACCAATGAAAAAGATCTATGGAAATTTACTCATGCGTATCATTTTAAAACTGAAACTTTTCAAACAAAATTATCTATACAACAAAGAGAGAAAGAGAGTAAATCAAGACTCAAATCTCAATATACGCAAATCCATATAACTTTCAAAACAAGTCGCCCATATCAGAATACAATATTCGAAAATAAATATCTTAGAATCATATTTTAAAATAAACTTTCGGTCAAAGATCTCTGCAGTAATCGATTTAACACGATATATTCGCGGCACTCGGGTCGATATACGAGGATATAGGTCCTGCTCAACAAATAATCTTATTTGAATTTCCGAAAAGGTAAAAACGTTCGTGACCAAATTTTCTCTAGAATAATGAAAAATGCATCGAGCTGAAGAAGCATTTCATGGGGAAGTATCGGGCTTGTACAATGTGAATTTTTTAACAAAACAAACTCAACACTTTTCAGATGAATAATGATAAAAAAAAAAGCAAAAAAGGTTGATCCGTGCCGTGCTTCATTGAATATTGCGCGTACGAATGCTCTATATCCAAGCATTAATATCCATTTGCTCGTTCGACTATAGGGAAAAGGAAGCGATAGGTCATACATTGTTATACAACTGCCGTTACATTCGTCAATGCTGCTGCAATATTCAACGGCCATACAGGCTCTTCCCATCGAAAGAAAAGTGCAAAATAAAAGTTGACCAGCAACATACGTCGGTGGATCCGCTTAAGTATCGCCCCCGTCGTAGCCCTTAGAGACGACTTCGAAGAAACGAAAGTTACGAGGCAGGAAAAACGAGCAGTGGAATTCGGAGAGACGGTATATATAGCGTAGCGTGATAGCCGTTTGTTTGCGTTGAAAAAGGGGAAGGAGAGCCAGTGGCGAGGACTGGAGGCAATATTCGGCGGAACTAGGTCGAGCGTCTCCCACGAATAAATTATCGGATCGCCCCCTACCACCCCCTCTCTTTCAGCAACAGTTTTTCCCGGGCGACTATTTATCAGCGTGACTGCGCGTCGAAAAAGGATTTTAAATGTTTTCTTTTTTCCTTCTCCTCTTGTGTGCTCTAACTTCTTCACCTAGTGTCATGGATTTTCCGCATTTTCCTTCGAATGGAATTTTATGGATTTTATTTTATCCTTTTTTTCGACGACAGAAAGCGGAATAGCAACAAGTCGTCTTCAAGACTCAGTTCAAGTTTTTTTCTAAACGTGTGGATACATACCGTGAGATTTATTTGTATATACTTGATATCACCTTTCCTCTTACATTTTTATTGACCGTAGGGTATCTTTGATTTTCTTTGTGAAAATGTTTTCAATTTTGAAAAGTAATGCAATATTGTGTACTGCAGAACTTTGTTCGCACATACATTGCATTTTATTGGTTATTGAAAAATAGATTGTATTACGCGGAAAAAGTGCTGTGACAGAAGAGGAAATAAGTATAAAATTACAAAATTGTAATAATAGTTTGCAAATATAAATTCTGAGAGAAAGTATTGCTTTTTATCCCCTATCAATAAACATTATCAATAACAAATAAAGATTCCTTTTAAAACATGGATATTAAAACCTGTTATAAAAATAATTGTTTTATTACAAAAAGAATTGCCACGTTGATTTCAAGTGGAAAATCTTATTGTTTCAAAGGGATTTTTTGTCAATAATATATAAGTCGAATACAGAAGTATTTTAACTGAAATTTAATCCTATAAAAACTTGTTATTTTCAAAATCATTGCATCGCAAACAATTTCTTCATCATTGTACCTGTCAATAACCAAATGACAAATTAGATTGGACAGTCTACAATACGACATTCTGCCGGAGTAGAAGTAAACGTCAACTCAGTAAAGATATCTAATAAACTTACGAAGCTATCAATTAAAATGCATACGATATACACTCGGCCAGGTTTGCTGTAAAAGCTTTAATTGTCTATTCACAATGTCGTTACAGACAACATGTTGCACAGTTGGTTCTTGATGACATCAGTATGTACGTTTCTAACGACCACAGCTATCATTTGTCGACGTGCTCTGAAATTAAGCTCTATAAAATTTGTCGATATAAGACGCGCATGTAAAGAAATATTTGCAAGAGTAGTATAAGCTATGGAGATCTTGGCACAAACTTTCTTTTTTCGCAATCGATGCTTGTCTAGCGCTGAAGTCGCAATCTGATTCTACGTTAACACGTAAGCAATGAGAGTCGGTAACAAAGTCGATAATGTTCTTGTAACGACGTTACCGACGCCCCGACTGACCTAGAAGACGATAACCCCCTTGGGGGGTGATGTCATTAACGGTAATGCTCGAGTGCCGTTGGGATCTTCATGTTCTGCAGTACGAATCCAATGCTTATGCACTTCTGTAACCCATGCTACTTTACTGACTGATATTTTAAAGTTCATGATCCCGTGCTACTTTATCGGCCGATATCGGTATTTTGATGCGCCCGGTTCGTGCTACTTTATCGGTCTCGTGTCCTCGCCAGGTAATATTATTGATTCTAGCGCGGTGATGTTCCAGCTTCTTTATTGATGTCAGCCCCCAATCTCAAATCCCATGCCCCATGTCCCGAGTCGGTTCGTTGAATCAGAGTCGCTAATAAAATTTGAGGTCCTGTACTCCGTGTACTAAGTTATTGTTGTACTGACAGCTATTGAAATTGTTGATGTTTTATGTTATCAAGGTATAAGAATATGATTAAGCCATGAACATTGACGGTAATTATGTTTTGTACTTTTCACATGTAGAATATAAGAAAATGAACATTTTACATAAATTATTCGTAAGATTTAAAAGAAGGAAAATGCAAGGGGAAGAAATATAACAATATATGTGTGAATTAATGACAAGCACATAATATAAATGTATGAAAAATATTTTTTTATTGTCAAGTCAATGAACATACAGTTTAAATGAATTCTAGTAAACATCCACCAAGATATTTTAATTGTACATTTCGCTTGTTCATCTCTTTAACCAGTGTGTCATAAGTATTTTGATTTTGAATGAGGTGATGTTTGACTTTTGAAGGAAAAAAGATTTCGAATTCCGCCTCTAACTAAATGACAACTTTAGTACTAAATCTTGTCTTGACTTGCTTGATACCTGTGAGAGTGTACAAGATTGCTGGGTCTAAGTCCTTTATTCTCTTAGTTGATAGATAACTTGAAGTTTTCGCTACTGCATTGATAGCTTCTATGATAAGTAGCTGTAACAAAAATGAGAATAGATATAAAATAGTACAATCATTTGCTTTTTTACAAGTTTTAGTAGTATAACACATTTTTGTTGAGCTGATTAAGAGCAATTAGTACTTAAAAATTAGTGAAGCTACGCCATAAAATTGGAAAAAGTGAATGAATGCTCACTTCATTCGATGTTGAATGTATAGGGCTTAACCCTTTCTCTAGCCTACTATATCGTCTCCCTCCTTCTCCTTCTCCTCCTCCTCCTCCTTCCACAAATATAATTCGTCCACCATATCGATATACATCTCATAATCGCTGTTGAAAGCTAACATTAGCGAAGTAGATTTTGATATGTGATAGGTATTATCATCATCATCAGAACTGTTGTAATAGACTTCTTCCTTACTATTAGATGACAAGGGTGGAAGATACCTTGTACTTTTAATACACCGTTTGAGTGCTGTTACATTTTGAAACGCACAGTTTTCAGACCAGACAGGATGACATTAACGGTAAACGATGGGTCTTCGAAACCCTAACTATTACAGTCAAGGACAAAGAACATCTTCTAAATCAAACATGATCTAGATATTGGGATAGTCACTGAACTTTGTGACGATCTTTAACGTAGATCATGACTACATCAGTGTCTGCCGCTAAACGACCTATTTCTTGAATATCGTATGGAATGTTTCCTACATTCCAATCAATCCCATGAATGTTAGCCGTGAGCCAAGAATTCTCTCTCTTGGAATAGCTGGGAAGTTTTTCACATAGACAAGATGGTGAAAAAACCCAATGAGCTGGTTCTATGTGATCATCGTTAAGATTGACAAGCACAGGTTCTTTAATAATCGTTTGGTCATTGAACTTAAACGCTTGTATATCAACGATAACTTCTATTCCATATCTGCAACCAAAAAATATATATTGTATGTGAAATTAAATGCGTCTACAAGTTAATATTTATAGTCGTAAGTAGCAAAAAAAACAGTTTTTTTCCTACCGTGTGTATGGTTCACAACGTGCCATGATTGCTAAGCTTAAGCAAATATGATGGCAGTAAAGTCAAAATACTTTATATATACATTTTTCCCCACCACTCACTACACCTCCTACTACTTGTTGGATTAGTAACTAAAAAAATGTGTAATTATACATTGAAGTACATTTACAAATATGTCTCTTTAAAAGCTATGATGAAATAATAAAAATTCTATATACATATACATATATTTCTTAATGTATAAGATAAAGTTTCTGTGCACATGCGTAGATTAGAGTTCATTTTATTTTACTCGAAAACTATGATTTTATTACGCTCGAATGCGTAAGCAACTAAGTCCCTTTACATATGTTAGACTCTGATGTCATTTACACATATGCTATGATTTTCTCTACACGTATAGTTGATTATTTTATTTAATTTAGTTCATTATTTCATATTAATTATCTTAATCTTTGTACAATCCACAATTGAAAGCTATTAGCTAACTACGCTACAGTTATGTCTTTATGAAAGTTTATAATTGCGGTTAAATCTTTTTATGAGTAAAAAATTCTAAGTCCTCGCTATACCTTGCGATAACTAAGTACTATTACATAAATTAGTTCATTCTTCGTCACAGTGACTAAGATCTTATTAAATTTAATGCATACGCGGTTAAGTCCCTTTACGCACATAAGAATCTCTCATGCTCCGATGACTAAATATTGAGGAGTGGCTTACGCATTTAAGTTCTACTACGCGTACGGCACAATCTCTCACTACCTAACCTACGACTCATATGAATTTGTACAGTTATGAATGAAGGACTTTTACAAGTGTACCACTATTACTCTATTCTTCTATCATTCAAAAATGCATATGTCTTCGCGTTATGCAATGTGGACATTAATTGAATGTCCATGCTGTACATGATTATGAGTATCAATGCTCACATGTCTAATGCTGATTACAATCATGCTTTAAAAGTTTGAAATATTTTTAGCATAATAACTCTTAGTGAATATTTTGATTTGTACATGAAAACTGGTGTATTATTGTTTGCTGATGTTTTTGAAAATTTTTGTAATCAATGTTTATCAGCTGATGGACTTGATCCAGCACATTGTTATATAGCACCAGTATATTCACAACAGTTCAATTAGAGTAAAAACTCAAAATGACTTTCTAAAAAGCATTTTTAAGTTTATAAATAACTATATATATGGAAAAACTATGAAAAATATTCGCAAGCATGTTGATGAGAAAACTCTTAACTAAGTAGGATGGACGATATGGTGTGGAAGCAATGGGATCGAAGCTAAATTTCCATCTTAATGCTATATTTGATGAAGATCTTGTAGCCAATCAATTGACAAAAACGATTTTGTATTTGAAGAAATCCGTTTAGGTACGTTTATCAGTGTTGGACGTTTCCAAAATGATGGTGTATAGTTTTCATTACAATTATATGCAAAAAATGTCTGGTGAAAATTATAAGCTTCTCTACACTGTTACAGACAGAATTATCTATACCATAAAGTGTCAAAATTTTTATACTGGTATGAAAGCCAATATTAATAATTTCGACACATCAGACTATCCTGCAGATAATGTAGTCAATATACGATGAGTAAATAAAAAAGTCGCTGGTAAGATGAAAAGCTAGTGCTAGTCAAACATAATTACTAAGTTTATTGGTTTAAAGAGTAAAATATACTGTACTCGTGTCAATGATATTGATACAATGAAAAAAGTTAAAGGAGTAAATGTTTCTGTTGTTAAGAAAACCATTGATTTTTATCATTATTTAGACTGCTTACAGAATTGACTTATTTGTACAAGATATCAATGTACGATTAGATCTATATTATACAATGTTGAGAAGATTCATTGGAGAAAAATTGTGTTAAATTCTTATGATGACAAGAAGTAGTTGATAGCAAACAGTACTAATACACTAACTCACGGAAATTTCAAAATTGCGTGAGTAAATTTACATCATAATGAAAAAACAAAAAATTTTAATATTATGTAAACAGTTATTCATACGGTGTTAATCAGTTATCTTTAATTCTAGATTAAATCATAAGTGTGTTCTTTTCTAAGATAAAGTTTAAATTACGCCAGTACGTGTAAAATAAAAAATTAGTAAGTTTCATTTAATTTTATTTTCTTGATAATTTTGTTTACATAGTACATATAAAATAATCTTCCTTCCCTTTTTTTCTATATCTATATACAAAAAGTGGATATACCGGATGTGGGATCGATCATCCCTTCATTTTCATATAATCATTTAAGATAATTGAATCATTGACGCTCAGTTTATTCAGTACATCATTTGTATTGGAAAGATTATTTTCGACTCATTGAACTGGAGAAAAATAAAACTTATGTTCTTGGGTTAGTATAATTACTTATCTTCAATTCAATACTAAACATTGACTTTGGATATAATAAAATTAAAAGTTAGTACTGATGTTATGAAATTAAAGACATTGAATGATATTTACAAGGAAATCTTCAATCATCAGGAACAAAAATTACTATCTAGCCTAATAAATAATATATTACGTAGTGAAATTACTTGCAATAAACCGATTGACTTTCAATCAGACAAGTTAATTGGACGTTTACTAGGCTTTACTCCACGTCTCTTGGAAGCCAATAAAAGTCATGTGTCTGACATGCTTGTGGCCGTTACGGCTTACATGTTGAATGTAACATAACATCAGGAGCTTAAATTAATTAACACAAGAATCATAATATTCACAAGTTCTTTCCTGCTGTATCATCAGGCTACAAAATCATTGAAGTATCCAAACAGATTATATATCTACCTTTAACTGTCAATATTATTGATCATTTACAATTGCGTTTGGTAGATCAAGATTGAGACTTAATACATTTTCGAAGTAAAATTATCACGATTCGTTTACATATAAAAAAAAAGTTCACTATCCTAAAGTAGGTAGGCTATATAAGTACTCTATCATGTGCTCAAAAAGTCAGTCATCGATTGATAGTCAAAGGACTAACACGACGAAACATTCAGTTCCTGAAGAGTCTCAGCCTGAACGTGATCGTAAACGCCATTCAGACAAAAATAAGATAAAGAAACGTAAAAACCGTAAAAAGTTACCGTCTATATTCATCTGTCACTGTCATCGTAAAGATGGAAGAAATACTTAGCATATAAACACCGATCATCTTCGATGAGTCTACCCTCATTATGAAATTCATGCGCACCAGCCTTACACCTCACAAAACTTTAATAACAGTGATGATATAGAATATTAATCCAACATCAACATCAACATCAACAACAATGACATCAAAAAATTTACATTGTAGAAAGACTTCGATAAAACCATAGTACTGCTGTAATTGGTATGAAGTTTATAAATAATGCAATATGTTAATTGTTTGGGGACATTCGCTAAGAAATTAATGCTATTGAGATAAATAGATGTAAAAATGTTGGTATGTCGAGTACTATGAAAGGTTTATTTCATTCAACAAGAATCAAAGTAGATTTGTTGAAAATGCTGGATGACTTGATATTGAAGACTATACTAGAAATATAATAGATTAGAACAGCAACTTTGATGTATCATTACTACTCTCAACAATTTTTCATTTTGCTAAAAATGATTGAAAAATTCTCGCGAATGTAAAACATGAACTTATTTAACGTGGTCGAGAGATAATCATAAGGCAATTCTACAAAATCAGATTAGAATTTATAATGAAAATAAGTATGAGTCGCTAAAAATAGAACTTTTCGAATCGAATAGTTGATGCCTTATGTAATTATGTTAGACAGACTTAAGATACAATTATTTAATTTTATTCAAAAACGTGTATCTATTTCCATTAGTTTTTTGATCGGGGGAACTTTATGAATATCCAGAACTACCTCAAACATCTAACCATATTTGGATATTCAATACATCAATTCAATTGTAAGAACCAAGATTCGTTATATTAGGTTTTCAGACTAAACTCAAGTCTGATAAAACAAAAAATTGTATTAATTTCGAACATTGAAATATAAATTTTTTCTCAATTCTCAGCAATATTCAGCTATTAAATGGCAATTAAAATCTCGATATTAATAATAATCAATATTCAATGTTATATGATATATATGCGCAATCATAACATGTGTACTACAACAGAGATGTTCAATCCACTTTTGGATAAAAAGCAATTTTAATGCACCCTTAATAGTGATAGACTGTTCAAAGCAAAACGAGATATTGAATCAAACTGCAATTGATGTACGTCTACAGGTTACAATAAAATATAATATACCATAAGGAACAGCTGGATATTGTCTTATTTTGCACGATATTATTAAGTTCAATCCTATTAACGGTAATATTGTAAAACTTGTATGAGTATAATCATTGATATGTCATAAAAAACATTCTTTATTTGCCAACTTTAATTTCATTTTATTCATTTTAACAATGAGCATTGATGTATTCGGAGATAAGTTGGATGGATCTGAAAGTAATCGTGGTCCACCTGGTATAGATAAAAAATAAAAATAGAAGAGAATCAATACGACTTAGTAATGTGATCACTGCTTCACATTTTTATAACGCTATAAACTTAAAGGCTGTTCACGATATACTTTCAGTAGAACATACAAATGTCCATGACACTCTGTCAAAATTAAAAGCTCGTCTAGAAGAATTGGATAGATTAATTGATATTCATCGAGAAGAACTTGATATATGAAATTTATATAAGTTTACTCTGACATAAATAAGTTGAAAAAGTTGATTGTAATAAATTTAAAAAAATGTATTTGCTCTGCTGTTGAAACGAATTATAAAAAAGTCGTCTGAATATACTTTACTGTGAAATAACTATTTTCAATTACAGAAATTTAGCTTCACAAGTATTTTAAAAATATTATCAATGATCAATCTTTAATGCTTTCTCAAGCTATATAAATACAACGTATTTAGCTTATTGTAATCATTTTTCATCAGCATGTGGCAGAATAATAGCGTCATACACTCGTCTTTCTGAGACTATGGAAACCAGTATTAATAAAAAAGAAAATAAGTCATCTTAGTGAAAATCTTACACTGAAAATTATTCAAGCAACATCCAATCCTGACAAAATTCAGTAGGTTATAACAAATTTTAGACAAATTCACATATTCCAACCCTTATTTGCAAATTGTTATATTTATTTATTTATTTATTTTTGCAAATTTGACGACTTCTTAAAGAATAACTGTTGCCCTTCAAAACGTACTTCTCATTTTTTTCAATATCATTTTTTCCGATAGAGATATTAAACATATTAAAATATGATAAATTTGCTATTTTGCAAATGTCGTTTAAGCAGAGGAAAGATTCCCTGAAAGATAATCTTCGTTGAAAAATAAAATAACATCCCAAGTATCTTGATCAAAGAAGCATGCACCCTGCTAGGCAATAACCTGCGACCGTTACATTCAAAGTTCCTTGATTAAAGAACCCTGTACCAATCTAGGCAATGACCTCAGCCCGCTATATCCCAAGTACCTCAACCCTATATCCCTGTACCCTGCAATAATCCCCGACCGCTACATTCTAAATTTCTTAATCCACTAACCCTGTATCCTGCTAGGTTTACCATTATTATCTTTCAGTGAAATTTTCTTCTGCTTAAACGACATTTGTGAGAATGCAAATTCATCATACTTCAATATTTCATATCTCTGTAGGAAAAAATGATATTAAAAAATATGAAGATTACGTTTTAAAGTGCAAGAATTTCTTTTTGAAATACCGCAACTATTCTGAGCTCGGATTCAGTTTCAGCGCACTAAATTTCTTCGAAAATACCTGGCCGGATCTCTGGGTCTCAGAAGTATTGGCCTGTAATATCCTGTTCAAGTATTCAAGTATCATATCTAAATGTTTCACAATCCCTCTACCGAAGATTACATTATAATCGCACACCCGTAGGGGGTGGAGGTGAGCTCCACTCTGCGGTTATTCATTAATTGGTCATCAGACTGACCTCAACTAATGAAGCGTTCTAATTCTAGCTAACTAATGGAATACCCAGATGTCTCCCTTTCAACTAGTCCAAACTCCATACTGCATCATTATCTTAATTGAATGAATAATCGTCGAAAATCGGTGTCTACTTACGAATAAATACACTAAGCTTTCCAAAATAAACAACTTTGAAACAAAATATGTGAATTTCTCCAACAACAAAAAACTTGACAGCGCAAACGATTTCAACTGACGTAGCGTGTTGCCACGGAAACACGCAAGCTTAAGAGAAATAAAGAAGCTTGAATGTTAAAGGATGAATGGTGAAATATATAACATATACATACATATGTATATGTGTGTGTGTATAGCAGAAGCATAGCTCATACGCTCGTTGCTGCGAGGTTAATTAATTCAAGCCACGTTATCGGTCACCGTGGGTGGCACTTACGGGGTGTGGCGCGACGTGACAACGTTCGTACTTAAATTATGCACCTGAAAACTGGTACCCTTTACTAAAGAACGTATAGACTCATGCTGACTAAATTTTTATTGCTTTTAAGTGGCGATTTGTACTTTAGGTATCTATTTCAGGGAACTTGTTAAATTATAGAGCACAGCATTTTTAAAAGAAAATCATGCATTGTGTTAGCGCGAAACCGTCAAAGCTCGACGTTTCAATTAGCGGATAAACGACGCTAATACGCTACATACTGAAAGAGAGTTATAACTTTTTTTTCTATAAAGACCCCTTAAACGAAAATGCTTTCACGATGGAGTAAAAAGAGTCGCTTGAAAGCGTTGACTATGCATTTTTTCCCCTTCAAAAAAAATAACGCGAAAAAATTAATTGGACAATACACACACACACGCACATACACAGGCGCACGCGCACGCACACACACACGCGCGCGCACGCTCGCTCGAGCTAGTAATTTCATAATAGAGAACGACTTTTTATTAAACTTGCGAAGAAAAAAGTTAAGTTTGCATTTGCAATCAATTACAAAATCATTGTTTCATAACCGGAGCTTGTGTTAATATTAAATGATTGCAAATAAAGTGAAAGTAAATCTACGCGTCTCATAAATCTTGCAGTGATAATAAATATTGTAATGCAAGCTTATTTCTAATTGTATATTTTGGATTATTAAAATAATCAAATCAACGTAAAGGTTTACTAGAAATTCAGCATTGGTAATGAATGTATCGAGCCAAGCCGCAGTCAATTTTCAGCATCGATAAATAAAAGCCAGGCAACAGTGCGTGTAATTGAAGCGGCCAGACGAAGGTTTTCCAGACGGACAGACACGCATAAAAAAACTGTCGATTCGCTGGCGAGCCCATCAATTCACACAGACACTCCACGTGTCGAGAAAAAAAAAAAAAAAACTGTACGCACATCATTGAGCGATAGTGCGCGCGCACAGGTACAACTTCTCTTTCCTTTGTCCCCGACGTTTAATCAATCGCCAGCTGCGAATGATCTGTGAAGGCGCTCACCTTGACACAGAACCCGCCACTTTTCTTATACGTGCCCGCCATCGCGAACGCGACTTTGATTTATAGGGACCATTTGGGCTCGCTACTCACGCGACTCTGCTCTTTTTTCTTTCCTATTGGTATCACTTGATACCAAGGTGTACTATCTCAACTATAATTGTCTCGAAAATTCTTAATCATTTACAATTAACTTCAATTGCTTGTTTATAAGCGTACACGAATGTCGTGGGCATGCTCTATCTAAAAAAAGCCACTGACAAGAATGAAGCTTACATGAGTAATTCCATAGAAATAAACAAACATTCATTTAAATTTTACTGCTGAAATTACTGCTTTTAATGCTGAATTCGTAACTGCTGCGGGTAATAATTTATTTTCAAAAATATTTAATAACAAAAAAAAAATGAATGATCAAAACAAAGATATATTTGTACCCGCGACTTTTACCAAATTACAGCAACAAAATGACATTTCCATTTATATTTAATAAATCTTAGAACATTTCTGATTAACCATCTATAATAAACTATAATATTTCATCATTACCGATTAGATATATTGCATGTATCGAATAAGGTAAATCCGGTTCGTGAAGTAGTTAATAAACTCGTTCCATGACAGATAGAGCATGAATTTGTACCTTCATTCGTAATAAATTCAATGAAAAATAAAGCAGTAAAGGCTTTGGATGTTCGAAACTCACCAATCGATGAGCACGGTTTACATTAAAATTACGGGCTCGCAAAAATCTGAGCAGGAACTCGTCGTCCATGCGATGTGGCATGCATTCTCCTCTCTCTGCAATAAAACCAATCGACATTTTTTATTATATCATCGGCTGACTAACCATAATTTATAAGCTTTACAGTTTAAGGTCAAGGATTCAATGATTGCAAATAATGGCGATTGTTTGTATAATTCTCATTTAAAATCTGCTTATTCCAAGCGCGACTGAAAAATGTACTACTGAAGATGGTAATACAAGATGCAAGCTGCAAGAATAACAATATGTGCTTTGGTATTCTGTTTTTTGATATACACCAATTATGACTTCATTTTTATACGACAAGACGTATGTTCGCATTGGCATTATCCTAACATCACTAAAACTGTTCGAAATAGAGTATTTTCTACTTCTCGTTTCAACTGTTAGCTGAGCTAGAAAGAGGAGCTCGATCAACTTTGTTAAACGAGTTAAAGCTCACTCGTGTGTTCTCGTGGTAGCATTACGAAATAAGTGGTTTTCTAGACTATAGCAGCCGCCAACAACTCGACATGCCAACTGAACCTGACACTCGAACAAAAAAGAAAATTTCAGTGTCCTTGGCTATTGAAATTACACATTGAAATAAAAGAGTTGAGATGCAAAATAACGAGTGGATACGAATTACAACCATATTGATACTGAAAAATCTTTCTATATGTCTAGGTACCTCCTATAGAAAGTAGATACTTGTATAAGTATTACTATTTTATTTCCAATTGCAAATTAAATATCGCTCTGGGTATAAGGAAAAGATCAGTTAAAGTATAAGCAACTACAGTCTATTAACAGTTATATAAGCTTGCGGCTTTTCTAACTGAGTTGATGCTCTGTCAAAAAGTTCGTTTGTAACGAGAGAATTCATGTTACCGTGAGAGGATTTTTCTCTCAAAAGAGCTCTAAATGGAGTTTACGAGAGAATATGTTTTTGTTACAAGAGATTTTTTTTAATTATTAAAATAAAACAATTCATTTACAATTATACGAATACTTATCTTTTCAATGTGAGAAAATTGATAGAATAATGAAAAACTCTGATGACCTTCAGTAAAATTGTCTCAATATAAATTAACTACTTTCCGGATATCCTGAGAAAATTACTTTAGTTTTTACGCGTATTATTAGGAAAAATTTTTACTAAAAAAACGTAATGTAAATAAAACCGTTTTTAGTAAAAAATCCTCGAAGTATTTAATTATGTTATCATGTCTAGTATTAAAATTAAGTTATCTAATTAAAAAGCTAATTGAAGTTTAATAAAAATCATAAACAGTTGTACTTTTCTGCACATTGTTTTTACAAATAAATGTCATACAATAATATCACAAAATTGACGAAACCAACAAAGCAAGCATCAAATTGCACTATACCTAAAAGTTCAAAAAATGATAGCTCGTAAGATAGTCTTTACACAACTGACTTTAAGAGCGGAAATATTCCAAAGCTATTACTTGTGTTTAAAAAAGCTTCTTCACTCGAATGTAAATATTAGTAAAACATATTCACGAGGAGCTGTATGAATTTTTTTTCCCTGTTCGACGGAAATAATTCTTAAGTTATGATAGTATATTCTTGTTGGCTGTAATGAAGCAGTCATTCAAGGTGTTCATGACGTTTACGATGCCAGCGTTTACTCACTCATGCTGCGTAAATAGTATATCATACTATGAAATGCGCATTTAACGAAGTTCAAAGCCAATTTTACTTACACATACTTGGCCTAACTTTACCTTAGAAGATAATTGAGTGATAATTTAATAACTTGGCACGAAATGATCCGGTAGCTTGGAAAATTTATTTTCCTTGTATATAAGAGTGTACATTGAGACCATTAATTACACAAGAATGCAGAATTTCGAGAAAACTACAATGATTTCAAACGCTGTAGCTGTTTTACGGAAAATAATAAATCAACAAACGAAATATAAAAAATGAACATTTGCATTATCATTGTGAATTCTGTATAATTAACTCGCAATTAATCTTTAATGAGTTGTGATTGCATTGCAGCGTTCCACTTATATGACGTGACGAAATTATTGTTTATCCTTATCTTATAATAATAAACTTTTATTGCAAAACTTGATTGAATTGATTTACAGATCAACGATTAACATTGAATGCAATTTCAATTTTTTATTCTTGTACGCACATTTCACTTCGTTTGATAGAGCATTAAATTGCTCTAAATGAATATCTCGTCAATTTGGACGATTCATACCATATATATGTTAATCGCTACCGTATTATCATCAGTTATTTTAATCGCACATTAAATGCAAAAATGCAGCTGGATAACATATCACCAAAATTAATAGAAAAAACTCCATACCGAAAATCATTTCCCTCAGCTCATGAATAGTCTGACACTTGACTTCCTCGCTTTCACCAAGTTCGTGGCGAGCGTATTCAAGTACATTATCGGGTATATGGTCAAGTTCAAGAGTAACAATTTCATCGGGTCTTCGAGTACCACGAGTCTTCTCATCGTCATCGTCTTCATGCTGAAGCGTCGGCCGTAACTCTTTTGGCTCAGGCATGTTGTCGTCTTCTTCGCAGCAGCCACTATCACTACGTTTACAATCATCCGACGACGACTTGCTTAAACGTTCTGATGCATCTTTACCATCGAGTTGCTTTTCTTGCTACGACAGATAAGAAGAAAACACATTATGGCGAGGTCATCAAAACGTTGTTGGTAGATTTTTGTTATATGTATGTCAAGCTTGTGGAGTCTTTTCTATTTCAGAAAAAAATAAATATTAATTGCATTGCTGTAGTTTGCGTGCTACATATATTAGGAGACTTAATTTGAGAAGAATAAAGTAATTTATTATCGTAGGAGGAAAAATCACGAGGATACTTGAAAAAAAATTGATTGATTCCTTGTGCAGAAAGAATGAAGATACTATTTTTGAGGAATTAGAATGAATGATTTGACAAGAAGGTGAGAATGATCATCTAATGTGAACATTAAGTTGTACAAATAAGTAGTATATGTGTATATAAAAAAATATTATGATAGATGAAATAAAATTTGTTTGAGTTTTAAGTAAATTCTTTAATATTTGTTTCATTTTTCTGCTACTAAATTAAAAAAATATCTTACTGAAACAAAAAATTTTTTTTAATAGTAAAAGCATTCTTAAAAAATAAAGTTTTTTAGTTTAAACGCTGCAACAGTATAACTAATAATATAAATTGGATGCAGTTTGAATGGACAACTGCACGCACTGAATTTGAATTGTGATATCAAACAACGATCTCCATAAGTGGGTCGTCTCGCGAAAGACAAAAAACTCGAGCATCTTAAGGATTTCCACGAATAGAAAGAGTGGAAGAGTGGAGAAAAAGTGGACCCGTTGGAAATAGCTACCCAATAGTTGATCTCAAGGACAGCAAGTGTATTCTTCGGTTGATAGCCTGTGCATGGCTTACAATGAGGATTATTGCGCCAAGGCATACTTCACTCGAAGCAACGACTTCCCGCTTTCACGACGATGACACCGGCAAAGACGTAGCTCTTAAAAATTAATGCCATTGTTTCGCTGGAAATCTCAAACTTACGACCCCATCTTCGTGACTGTCACAACGAGAGTAAGATATATTTTCACGCTTTCGAAAGCACAACTCAGGGCAGTTAGAGGTTAACTAGTTGGTAAAACAAAAGAAAGTTGTTTCTTCAAACAACTCAACAAACCAAAAATAATATAACAATCAAATAAGCGTAACAGGAAAAGAAAGGAGATGAAAAGAGAATAACCTTGTGCTCGGTCGGTTGATCGGCATCGCGCATCCTCACGGGACGAAGGAAGCGCAAGCTGGCCGTTTATCAGCGAGGAATACGAGGGCGAGAAAAGAGTAAAGGCAAAGCAGCCGCCTGCAGTTGAGAGTGCGTGTGATGCAACTGAGCGAAATCCTGCTGCCGTCACTTACCGGCAAAGGCCGCCTCGCGCTCTATGCGCAGCCTATAGGTCTGCACGTATCACACACTCCAAGCAATAAGATGTATATAGCCAGAGGCGGACGGACAAGGCCTAGCTCTTATACATATATACAAACTGTGCTCAACTGCTGCACTTAGATGTGATTAGTCAGCCGATCGTTAAGGAGCTTGCACACCGAGCGCGACCTTTGAGCATCTCTGTGCCTAGGCTTGCAGCGGCATCGCTGTTCACTTTACGCACAGACGAGTAATTGATTATTCGACATTAATCGTTGGAGCTGTTGGATTTTTTCTTCTTGGTAACCTTCAATTTGATATTCCTTACCCAGGTTGACGAATGTTTGCGGTATTTCATTATCTGGCTGGGCGGTGACTCAGTCGAGAGAGATTCTAAGATTCTTTTGGTGCTTAATGAGTTCTTTTCGTTCAATTAACTATTTTGACATTTGCCTTCTTTGTGAGTCGCTTTCATGAGAATTTATCTGATTTCAAGAAATTCAATTGACTAAACGTTGCAATTGCAAGTTTGCAATTTAATTACATGATAAAAATGGCATTGCCTTTTTCAATGATGAAAGCTAGAATTTTTACACTATTTTTTTTTATTCGTAAATTTTGAAACGCATAAAAATGATTACTTTGTTAAGTGCTGAAATATGTGAATTTTTTTGAAAATGAGTACCTGTTATCATCAGTTTTCATTATCAGATATTCTATTAAAATATAGGCTAGAGTTACAAATTAATTTGTAACTCGGATATGCGATACTTTTCTCTCAACTTGTGATAGGCTCAGTCTCTAAAAAATTAAATTGTTACTATCGTCTTAGATTATTTATCATAACTAATTTGGAAATAACATTGGTATGAGTATCTCAGTCTTGCCTTTCAGAAATCACTAATGAAAAAAACATGAATCAGCAGTAGGAACAATAGAAGCAAATATTATCTTTATAGACAGAGTTTTTCTGATGAAAAATATTCGTCATGTTTTGTCTCTTATTCAAGACAATCTAACAAGATAGCCATTAACTTGAATCAGCTCGTTATTCGAATCTGTGTACTGTATAACCGAACGAAAATAAAACTAGCTGCTCGTGTGATGATTAGTTTTATTTTATTTTTATTAAAATTGAGAGAGAAAAAAATGTTCGAAACGAATTAAACTGTAACATAATAGGTCATGAGTATTAAAAAAATTATTTTTGGTTTCTCTAGAAAAATCCAGTATAATCTTGTCAACGCGTATAATTATACCAATCACTCACTAAAAATACAAAAAATGATGAGAATTTATTTATAATTAATGAGTTTAACGACTTTTCGCTGCATAAACAGTTATCGTAGATTCAAATCAGCAATAATCATCAAGCATTTACCACAAAGACCGGCCTACTTAAATATCTATTAATAATCAAATCATAGCGTTCGATCATCATTGAGCAATCGTACAAACGGGCAACAAAAAGAACGAGTAAAAGAAACAAATGAATGCACAGTTCGAAAGCCTTAACAATCAGTATACAAGTGTGCAGTTGAAAGCAAAACAGTAAAGCACTTCTATTCTTTCGTTCTCGTTTTCCATTCTCACTTGTTCTTTTTTTATTTCTTATCAGCTTGCACAGAACCGCAGAGCACACTGTTTACTATTTTTTTTCTCATTACGACGGTGCACCGGCAAAAGGCGATAATGAGGGAGAGAGAGAGAGAGAGAGAGAGAAAATTAGCGCGCGCCTCCTAGTATTATGGTAATGCAGTTCTTGCGGGAGCATGGAACTTAACCAAGGCCGCAGCTTAGTTTTTAAAAGGACTCTTATTCGTTCGCTCACGCGCTGTGGAATAACTTCTTTTTGCGGCTTTCAATTTCGATTTTTCTTCGATCGCGTGATTCGTTGTGAAATATAATATCGTGATTCCATGTCGTTTTACGTTTTTCGCTCTCTCTCTCTCTCTCTCTCTCTCTCTCTTTCATGTATATACGTTGTCACGTACTGTAATCAATCACGTTAATCGAATGCAATAGTTGCGTACAAAGAATTGTAATTTGAAGAAAAATGAAAAAAATAGTATAGCAGTATTTACTATAAACAGTAATTAATAATTGTGCTATATATAATTTAATTATAATCGAAAAACAAGCAAAATAAATAATAATTTATACAAGAAAACTGAAAGATAAAGTCGTATAGCTACAAGGTGATCTGACTGTTTTGGAATACCGTTGCAAAAACTAAACCACCATAAAATCGAAAGAAGAGAGTTGAATGCAAAAAAGTGTCTACCTACGATACAATGAACAAATATCCCGAAGAAAATAATCTCATTGAATTAGCATATCACCTTCCAGATCAGAGAACTAGTTTTTAATATTAACAACTTGAAATTCACTTTCAGTTGAATAAAACTTTTTTTTCCAACTGCAATAAAATTAGCTCGCTAAAACGACGTCACAGTGACTGACTGCATCGCAATAAAACGTTGACGCGTAATACCGTTAAGCAGCTGAAGGGAAATACCACGAAGGAAAAAATGAATAATCATCGACGATAGAAGAAAAGACAGCGTGCGCAATGTGTCACCAACACTCGGTTCCCCGTGCATACGAGAGGCGCGCGCACATCCGCCGCCCGAAGCGCGGGCTATTACGAAAAAGGTGGTCAGGGACGGACGACTCGGCAGTGTTGCACAGTGTAACCACCCGCGCACGGAGCACGATGAAACTATAATGATGATAATATTTACGGTACAGTACTCTTACCGCTGACTTAGTAAATGCCGAGACGTAGGCCAACATTTCGTGCTATTCTTATGTTTGCACGTGTGACACGATTGCGGCTGTGCTTCCCCTTGCTCGTGGCAAGTTTTCCTGTGGTTTCGCTCGCAGATTGCCCAAGCTCCCCACTTATTCGCTAAGATGCGCCGATTAGAATCGTTGCACTTGGAATTATCGGGTTTTCGGTCGAGCTGGCCGTTGCAAGAAAGCTGCGACGGGCTTATTTGAAACGACGGGCATCGGCAAGTGTCCTTATGCCGGCATATAAAATCGATATTGTAAAGTCGAAGCAGCGAGAAAATCTTTTGTCTTTTGATCTTGCAAAGCTTGCTTTTGAATAGTCACAGCGGAATAATACGTAACTCGCTTGCTTGCTTGCGCACACCCACAACACTGGCAGCGAAACGACGAACAACGAGCGACTGCGGCGTGCACCTCATGCGCGCACAATATTCCCATCCCAGAGCGCTTCTCTCTTCTCACGAACGTCTCTCCACTCCTCTCGCCCTCTCAGTCTGCTCGCCATTATATATAGTACAGTTTTGTCTCCCCTAAGAAACAGGTCGCGGAGCATTAAACCACCGTAGAAAGCGAAGTGCCAACCAACCGGTCGCCCTTGAAACTTGCAACTCGAACTTAGGCCGGTATTCGATTATTTTCCAGACTTGTTTATATATCCTCTCGATCCAGGATGAATAATCAAGCCTTTCGAACTACGCCACGCTATTTTATGCTATACGATGACCCATGCGATATTCCTACGTCGAGACCTGCATTTGTTTTCGTTGTCGATCTGTCTGGTACATCGCTTGGACTTGAGAGTATCTCGTCTGTATTTTAAATATTTATCGGTTTTAATTGCAAAATATTTATATTTTTAAAAGATTCGTTATTCAGTTGCTACGTAGAATTCAGTTTGTAAAAAGA